AGCATTCTTGGCAAGAATGTGTCATGGGTGATGCACTTCCCATTGTGTTACATTAGAAACCTCATAATATCTGTGAGTTACTATTAGTGACATTAAGTTTGAGTTCTGATAAATGGGTTACTGAGAGCTTCTCACTGTAAAAGTTTCATTTCTTACCCCACCCATTTTAATGTACAAAGTAATTTTTAGGTATTCTTTGGGCACCGTAAGATAACCTTGTTGCCCTGCAAGCTTTCAAACAAAGAGTTTAGAAACTACAGACCATCTTTTTGGGAACCAATTATTATACTGCGGGATACAAAATGGCACCATTTTAAATATATTAGCTGGCATTCTTTTTTGGTGGGTGGGCAGGTACCAGGGATTGAACTCAGGAGCACTTGACCACTGAGCCATATCCCCTAATTTGTATTTTATTTAGAGAAAGGGTCTCACTGAGTTGCTTAATGTTTTTCTTTTGCTGAGGCTGGCTTTAAACTCATGATCCTCCTGCCTCAGCCTCCTGAGCCTGCTGGGATTAAGGCACGCACCACCGTGCCCAGCTGGGCTGGAATTCTTTTAGAAAAAGGGAAAATATTTACTTTTAACTGGAAGTTACAATATGCAAATATAAGGGATTCCTTCTATTTCTTTTCCTTAGTATGCAAAGAGAATAGAGTCCGAGAGGATACATCAGGATTACAAGCAGCCCAGGAGAGCTGGGGATGACTAGAGATTAGGAAGATGAATGCATTTAAGACAAGGCTAACTCTTCTGTTCAATGTCTACCAGGTGTCAGGTACTGTTTTCGGTATTGCGTATATCCTAGTGAATAAGATTCACACAATCTCTACCCTCATGGGGTTTATGGTCTGGAGGAAACAGAGACATAAAAGAGAGAGTTACATTCCTCAAATCAAATGATTTCAGTGATAATAAGTGCTATGATTGTTATGGTGACATTTGTAATAAATCAACTAGTCTATCTGAAAGCAGGAGATGGAACCATTTTTATTCACCAGCCAGTGTCTGAATCCAACAGCTGGAGGTTCCAAGGGGCAGGCTGCAAATCTACATGCTTTGACCCCCTCCCCAGGTTTCAGTACACCTTCTATAGTCCAAAACCATATTAATCATAAGTGGCTGTTACTATGATTCAAAAACATAAACAAACATCAGGAGATCTAAAATCATAAGCAGAAGGGGAAGTGGGTCAAAATGACCCTAGTTGAGTACAAATTAAAGAATGGTAGTAATCATAATGTCTAGACAATCATTCTCCGACAGGGTACATTGTCCAAGAAAAATGGGAACCAAAAAAAGAACAATTTTTACATTGTATGAGAATTGCCATTTTGTGTTGCCAAATATGCTATGCTAAGCAACTACTGATGGGTACAGAGGCGGGGTGTTCCCATGAGAGAAGCATTTCTTACATGACGTGGAGTCTTAGAACAAAATGGAGTCTGTTTGGTCATTGCCCATATAGCCTGGCCCATAACATGGTGAATATAGGGTTCATGTGAATATGTAATGGAAAGCAGACAGGAAAGGCCTTCCTGTGTAGTAAATATTGGGATTTAAAAGATGAGCCAATTTTTGATAAAGAGAAGGGAAAAGGGCATTATAAGCAGAAGGAAGAGTAAATGTGAAGGGACACCAGTGTGGAGAAGTTTGACAGTTTAGGAATAAAAAGAAGGTCAGTGTGGGGAATTGAGAGGGACAATAAGTGACACCAGCTATGGTGTGGAGTTAGGCAAGGATCACAGCATGCAGGGTTTGCAGACTAAGCTAAGGATTTTAAACTTCAACTCAAAAGTGGGGACTACCTTCTAGAATGGTTGAGCATATGTGTCTTATGATTCAGTTGTATTCTAAATAAAGGTCACTCTAAGACTAGCCCCATCAGATATTAAAATATTATGTAATTATTACAACTGGACTGGAAGATGAATTAAATAGTTCAATAGATAGAAGAGAAAGTCAAGAAGATCCAAATATATATAGAAAATTTGTACCTAGTAAATAGGACATTTCAAATAAGTGGGGGGAAATGGATTACTTGTGAACATTTTTGGGTAACTGAGTCTCTCTCTAGGAAAAAAACCCCACAAATGTTGGATATGTATTTCAGAAATTCAAGAAAACAAAACGAAACTGTAACCGAAACTCAGTCCTCATCCTCGACGCCAATCCAATAATGAAGACAAGATCTAGGGAAAACATGGTTTATTGCTTTGCTAACAAAGGAGAAACACAGGGGACTTCCGTTCTAAAGGCTGTAATTCTGTCCATTCTCAAGAACAGGAGGCTGTTATAGAGGTGATTTAGAGAAAAATGAGATTAAGGAGGAAAGATCAAGGAGGAGAAGATAGAGAAAAGAAGATCAGGGAAAAGAAGATTGGGAAAAAGAAAACAAAATGAAAGTTTCAAAGCCACAGGTATATAGTCAAAGCATCAAGTGAACCCCTGTTACAAAACCATAAAAGAATACATGAGAAAAATAGGAAAATAATTTTGTGATAAAAATGCCTTTTCTGCATAAGTTTCAAAATCTAGATATCATGACTACTCTAGTCAGCTTTTCATTGTTGTGACCAATATACCTGAAAAGAACAGCTTAGAGGAGAAAAAGTCAGTCTTGCTTATGATTTCAGATAATTTAGTCTGTGGTCCACCAGCTTCATTGTTCTGGGCCTTAGGTGTAGCAGAACTTCCTGGCAGAAGGGTGTGGCAAGGAAAGCTGTCAGCACTTGGTAGTTAGGAAGTAGGGCAGGGTCTGGGGAAGAGACTTGGGAAAAGATAAATCCTTCCAGGGCACACTCCCAGTGACCGACTTCCTCCAACTAGGGTCCATTTAGTTATCAATGGATTAATCCACTTCATTAATCACTGATTAGGTCAGAGACCTCATGATCCAATCACTGCCTAAAAGACCTGTCTCTGAACCTTGCCATAGTGGGGACCAGGCTTTCAACATGTGGGATATATCCCATAATAATGACAATGATAGTTGTTTGACCTAGGTCCTGGAAAGATGGCTTTGAATGGTTCATGGTAATTTTGGAGGTGGACTCAGCAGCCTCAGTTGATCATTGAACAGAAGGAGTGGGGAGGGGAGGGTTAAGGAGGGTGAGAGGATAAAGATGTCAGGGAAGAATTAACTTCCATATTTATAGCTTAAGGAATATATTGAAAGGTAGTACTGCCTGCTGACATAGAGAAGGGAGAAGGGAATATTGCAGGGAGGATAAAAATTCAGCTTTGGCCAGATATGGTGATGCATGCTACTCAGGAAGCTGAGGAGGGAGGATCATAAGTACAGGGCCAGCCTGGGCAATTTAGTGAGACTCTGCCTAAAAATAATTTTTTAAAAAATTGGCTGAGGATGTAGCTAATAGCAGAAAACCTGCCTAGCATGTGTAAGGTCTTGAGTTCAGTCCCCAGTACTGAAAAATAACTTTGGTTTACAACATTTGGTGTTTCAAAAAACATCAAGAAAGTGAAATGACAACACAGAGAAAATATTTGCAAATTATATTTCTGATAAGACATTTGTAATCCTCAGTATGTAAAAAAAATTCTTATAACACAAAAATTAAAAGACGAATAAGCCAAATTAGACACGGACAAAGGTTTTAAAAAGACATTCTTTTTCTCCAAAGAAGATATATATAAATGGCCAATACACACATGAAAGGAGGCTCAGCATCATTAGTCATTCGAAAAATGCAAACCCAAACCACAATGATATGCCACTTCACATTCACTAGAATAGCTATAATAAAAAAGATAACAAGTGTCAGCAAGGACATAGAGAAATTGGAGCCCTCCTACATTGTTGGTGGGAACACGAAACAGTGTGGAACACTTAGGAAAACAGTTTGGCAGTTTCTCAAAATGTTAAAGATAGGGTTACAAAGAGAACCCACATAATGGAAGGAGACCCTCAGGGTTATACAGTGGAGGAGGTAGAGAGAGAGGAGGGGAGGGGAGGGGAGAGGTGGGGAGGGGGGAGGGTGGAGGATGGGAAAGGCAGTGGAGCACAACAGACACTAGTATGGCAATTTGTAAATCAATGGATGTGTAACTGATGTGATTCTGCAATCTGTGTATGGGGTGAAGGTGGGAGTTCATAACCCACTTGAATCAAAGTGTGGAATATGATATGTCAAGAAATTTGTAATGTTTTGAACAACCCACAATAAAAAATTAAAAAAAAATAAATAAAATAAAATACAAAAAAAAAAAAAGAATTAAACAGTTCTTACTATAGTGATACTTGCATACTCACGTTTATAGAAGCACAAATTCACAAGAGCCAAACAATGGAACCAGCCTAGGTGTCCATCAATGAATGACTGGATAAAGAAAATGTGGTAAATATACATTGGGGAGTTTTATTCAGACATGAAGAAAAATGAAATCATGTCATTTTGAAGGAAAATGAATGGGATTAGAGACCATTACGTTAAGCGAAATAAGTCAAACTCAGAAGGTCAATGGACATAGGTTTTTTTCTCATATGCAGAAGATAGAGAGGAAAAAGGAAAAGTGTGTGTGTAGTGGGGGGGATCTCACGAACATCAAAGGGAGATCAGTAGTGGAAAGGGACCTGGGAGTGGGAGGACGAGAGGGAGGGCAGAAGCGTTGGTAATGATATTGGCCAAATTATATCGTTATATTGTGTGCATGTATGAATATGTAACACAAATCCCATCATTATTACAACTAGAATGCATCAATAAAAAATTGTGGGAAAAAGAGAACTCTAGTGTCCCGGAAGTGAAGAGGCGTCCAAGCAGATTGTGGGGTATGTCAGAATTCTCAGCATTTGGGAACGAAAGAAACTTATTTTCTTTTTCTAACTTCCCTCAGCCAGCGCATCCCCCTTTCTCTTTTCTGGTCTCCCTGGGCCCATCCCCTTTCCTCGTTTCCTAGCAACCAGCTTCCTAGGGTGCGCTTTCTCAAGTCTCAGGCGTCACTTCCGCTCTGAGACAGGAAGTGGGGTCAGACCGGCTGCTTTCCCGGGAGTTCGGCGTTTGCTGCAAGCTGAAGTACGTCAAGTAGTGTTTTCCTGGGACTGGCTGGCGGTCACCAACCCCCCGCCCCGCCACCCCCGCCGGTTCTACCTCCCGGCCTGGTGGTGAGGCCTCGGAGGAGGGCTCGGAGGGGTCTAGCGACCCGTGCGAGAGGAAGCGAGGCTCTGGGACGCGGGGGCCTCCAGGGCGGGCGGGGTAGGGGGCTGGCGGGGGCAGCTACTTAGGTGTCTGTGGAATCTTTTCAGTGTGCCTTGCCTTTCCTCTGCGGGCCGCCGGAGAGGAGATTGAGACATTTCTGCATTCCTTCCCTTACTTCTCACGTCCTGCCTTTGAAGGAAGACCCCCCAGAGAGACAACTTTCCCAGTTGCGGACGCCCTTCCACGCCCAGGCCCCCACTTGTCCTGCCATGACCTCACTGTGAGCTATTCAGCGATTTTTGACAGTTCCCGGACGCTTAGGGTAAAATGTTTATATTGCGTAGAGGTGGGGTTGGGGGACTTAATTTTCAGCAAACCTGATAACGCTGGGCAAATGTGTATTTTGGCTTTAAAAAAAAAAATCTCTGGCTTGGTTTCTTGTTGCAAACCTGAGGAGTTGGCACTTTATTTGATTCCCCCCCCCCCCCAGCCCCTGGCACTGGGGATTGAACTCAGGAGTGCTCTACCATCGGATTACTTCCCTAGCCTTTTTAATTTTTAAAATTTTTTGACAGGGTCAAAAGTTAAGTTAGTGAAGTTGGCCTGGCATTTGATCCTCCAGCTACTGCTTTTGGAGTTGCAGGGATTACAGGCGTGTGCCACCATGCCTGACTCTGCACCTTGTTTTAGACAGGTGGGAGAACATATTGGAATTAGACTGGAAGGGCCCAGGAGATACTGATTTTGTGGCTCTTAGCCTTACACTTTAAGGAACTCAGTGACCTACCTGTATTAGGTGAATCTTGGTTGTGAGCTTTTAATGTCTATCTTCCCCCCAAGAAAACTGCAGATTCTTAGCAAGGGCTGTGTCATATTGTATTTTTGTGACCCCCCATAGCCCCAAGCACAGTAAAAAGTTCATGAATATTTTAAATCCAAATATCAGTAAATACACATTTTAACATTTTCAGCTTAATGTTGAGGGGATCTATGTAAGTACATTTGAGCTCCTAGAAAGGACCACATGAAATAACAGCATCTTTTTAGAAAAAATAGTAAGAGATCTGTGTAGTTAAATGTGTCTGAAGTTTAGAGATTGCTCAGAAAGCTAGGTATCATGCTCTCAGTGGAAGAGAAATATTGTACATTTATCTTTCTGGAAGAGACCAAATATTGTTTTTCTGTTTCTTTTCTCCCTTTTTTTTTTTTTTTTTTTTTTTTTTTTTTTTTCTCCCTTTTTTTTTTTTTTTTTTAATTTCTTCTCTTCTCCCTCACTTGTTTTCTTTTAAATAGGTATTGTATCCTAAATTACTGACCCAGAAATATTGCCATCATGGGAAATCAACTTGCTGGCATTGCTCCTTCCCAGATCCTTTCTGTGGAGAGTTATTTCTCAGACATCCACGACTTTGAATATGATAAAAGCCTTGGAAGTACTCGATTTTTTAAAGTTGCTCGAGCAAAGCATCGAGAAGGCCTGGTGGTTGTAAAGGTCTTTGCAATTCAGGATCCCACATTGCCATTAACCAGCTATAAACAAGAGCTGGAGGAACTAAAAATCAGGCTGCACTCTGCACAGAACTGTCTTCCTTTCCAGAAAGCAGCAGAAAAAGCATCTGAGAAAGCAGCTATGTTGTTTAGGCAATATGTGCGAGACAACCTCTATGATCGCATCAGTACCCGTCCATTCTTAAATAACATTGAGAAACGCTGGATTGCTTTCCAGATCCTGACAGCTGTGGACCAGGCACACAAATCTGGAGTTCGTCATGGGGACATCAAGACTGAGAATGTTATGGTTACCAGTTGGAATTGGGTTCTTCTAACTGATTTTGCCAGTTTTAAACCCACTTATCTTCCAGAGGACAACCCAGCAGATTTCAACTATTTCTTTGATACTTCAAGGAGGAGGACTTGCTACATTGCTCCTGAACGTTTTGTTGATGGTGGTATGTTTGCTACTGAGTTAGAGTATATGAGAGATCCTTCAACTCCACTTGTAGACTTAAATAGCAATCAGAGAACAAGAGGAGAATTGAAGAGAGCAATGGACATCTTTTCAGCAGGTATTTGAGTTGGTCACATTTGCTTATTTGCAAATTAACAGTTCATTTGTAAATTAACAGCTCATTAAGCTTTTTAAACTGCCAAACATAGAAATGTAGCTTATTTTTAAGTTACCAGATGTTCAAAAATTAATTTCTTGGTATGTCCTCATATACCATTTCAGATAGAAGCATCATTCCTTCACTAGCCATGTTACATGTTACATTAATTATATTACTTTTAATATAACATTTAAAAGTATTTGTGTAATTCTAGTATAGTGTCAGATAGTGTTCTATCTGATGGATAATATATGTTACTCTTTTAAGATGACATTCACTTTGGTGTTTGCTATGGTGGTGATAAGCCTAGGGTGTTTTATTCAAACACATAGGTGCTTAAATAAGTGTACATGGGGGTTTGATGGGTAGAGAGGCAAGATCAGGGAAGCCTTCTATGAAAAGATTGACATTTAAATTGAGATGATTAGGGGTTAGTTTTGGTAGGGTAGTTTGTTTCAAGCAGAAAGTCTTGTTTATACAAAGGCTTAAAGAACAGAGCATGATATACTGATGTGTTAGGACACTTCAAGTAGATTAGTGTATCAGGAATATAGATAAGAAAGGGTGTGGCATGCCCATGCTAGTCTGTTGGATATGTGTTTTAGACAAAACATTGATAAAGCATAGGGAGTAAATTGCAGGGGATCCACACTGGAGACAGAAAACAATTTAGGAGAAAACTGTCACAATCTTGGTTAAGAATGATCGTGCCTGACTTAAGGTTATGGCAGAGTTGGAGGGAATAGACAGAAATGATAATGTTTAAGGGATAGTAAATAGAATTGTTAGGATTTTGTGACTAGGAGACAAAGTCATGAACATTCAATTCCTTTTGCTCTTGGAGAAACTGTGGATGGCAATGTTGGTCCTGAGATAGGAGACACATGAGGAAGAACAGGTAGGAGTGAAAAGATAATGAGGTCTGTTTGCTAGATAGTTGGTGGTGTCCAGAGAAGATACACAATAGGCTGTGAAAGTTTGGTGATGAGAAGAAATTGGAGATGAAGGTGGATATTTGGGAATTATTAAGCAATACTATTTGTAGCTAATGAAATGAGTTTGTAAGCCAAGAGAGTTTGTAGAGAAATGATTCTTGAGCTCTTTTTGGATCGCCTTAAAAAATTACTGGACTATGTCTCTGGTAAAATGTACCATGCATTCATATATTTTTTTTTCACGTATGCAGACCACATGAACCTGGGCTAGGGACTACAGGTTATCTAGGAACTTCTGGGATAAAGAGCAGAAGTGGATTGAAGATAGTATTCTGACACACCATATGAACTCTGGCTTCAGTGTAATTTCTGGTAAATTTTGTGATGATTTGATATAACCTTATTTTTAACCATAGGTTTACTCAAGAAAATATATAAATTGAGCCAAATTTTAGATGATTTAGGAAAAGTAATATAATTAGTGAAGAATACTTTCATCTAGGAGAATGAATTGTTGCATAGAATTGCACCTATGTTGGTCCATTCAATTCACTAATCTGTTTCCCAAGATAACCCTGAGGAGTGTTCTTGATAGGATAGATTCAGCCTCCAGGTTGTAAATATGGGTTAATCTTTCCTAATCTTAAAATCTTTGACCCTTCCTAATAGTGCAAAATGTTTGCACAGTTGTGAATTTTGGGTAAGAAATATTCAGCTAGTAAAGAAAGTCTATGCAAATATTCCAAACTCTTCAAACAAACAAACAAACTCCTAAATACGGAACACTTCTGGTCTCAAGCATTTTGGAAAGGGATACTCAACATGTATAACAGGATTAGAAATTTAACATGAGGTGCGAGATTTCCAGAGCAAACATAAAAACCTGCCATGTGGAAAACTCTGGGTTTTGTCTCTTGAGAGGACCTAGTTTATTACATGTGGAACATACTTCCATTTCACTTAAAAAAAATACACACACACACACACACACATTTATGTATAAACTGAATCAGAGTTAAACTTTGTTGACTAATACATTTATCTAAATTTTTATTGAACCATTTTTACTTTTTAAATTTATTAACTTTATAAATAATACTCCTTTAGCTTAGAAATCTGATTAGTTTCTAACTTCAGGGGATCATTCTCATTCATAGGTTTAAAATTTCAGGGGCTGGCAAGTTTATATTGATCCTTTTTGTGTGTATTATTTTGTACACTTCCAAATTCTTAACTCAGGGCTTGTTTTTGCAAACTAAAGAGTCCTGCATTTTGGCTAAAGGTAGGCCTTTCTGTTTGTTTGAAAAATAGATGGATGGCTTTTGTCTTACCTTCCAGAACTCTTAAGACTTGAATCTTTGAGTTCGGAATGTTGCTTTTTACCCCCTCAAGCTAGTATTCATGGTCCCTGACTACTGGTTTGGGAGAAGTGAAGTGTATGTATTCTGCTGACTCTGGTCACTTAATGAGTAGAGCCCTCTTTGAAACGGTTTGGTTTTCATCAGATTTTATATTTATCAGTGTCCCCCTGTTCCCCATTCTCCACTCCTGATCCCTTTTCTTCCTTTGCTGTATGTGTTTTGGTGCTGGTCCTCATGTATGCTAACTAAGCATTCACTCTACCACTAAACTATAAACTATATATAGCTTCTGTGGTTTTTTTTTTTTTTTTTTTTTTTGGTACCAGGGATTGAACCCATGGGTGTTAACCATTGAGTCACATCCTCAGCCCTTTTTAGTTTTTTAGTTTAATTTTTATTATTTGCTTAGGCCTCACTACTTGCTGAGGCTGGCTTTGAACTTGAAATCCTCCTGCCTCAGCCTTCCAAGTTGCTGGGGTTACAGGCATGCACCACAGTGCCTGGCTCTCCCTTGGCTTCCCCTCTGTTTTTTAATTGAATATTCCTTCTTTGGGTGTTATCTGATGTATCCTTTCTTTCCATTTATTTATAATTGGCATGAACTCATTAATTATTAATTTTTCAGCCAGGCATATTTGTTACTGTACTTAATTGTTTTGGTGTGCTGGTTGTTTCAGATTTGGCTTGTGGAATTCCCTTTCAGGCTGACTCTTTTTTTTTTTTAAATAATTTTAATATTTATTTATTTTTTTAGTTTTCGGCCGACACAACATCTTTGTTTGTATGTGGTGCTGAGGATCGAACCCGGGCCGCACGCATGCCAGGCAAGCGCGCCACCCTTGAGCCACATCCCCAGCCCTCAGGCTGACTCTTGTGTGTTCTTGTGACATACTCATCTTTTTTTTTTTTTTTTTAGCATTTCTTTTTGGCACAAGATACTGAATCTACCTTGTCTCAGTGAAAATGCAAGATAAGAAACTTAAGGGATATTTCCCCAAGGAACCTTAGCTCTTTTAGTGTGTATTGAATGATATTAAATGTTACCATATAGTGCTTATTGCTATTAGAGTGTTCTGTTACTTGGGTCTTACAGTAGACAGAGGTGTGGGAGAAAGGGCTTGGAAGCTTCTTGCCCTCTCTGGGCATGCCATCCTGCAGGAACCTTGCATTTGGGAAGCTATCCGAACCCTATATCTGAACCCTCTTTTGGATTTTTATGGAGAGTTCATTGCATAGGCATGATTGAAGCATGGACAACTGTGTCAAAATATGATTGGATAAAGAGTATAAGCTAATTCTAATAGACTGTGTGGGGATACCCAGGAAGGACTGGCTGCTTCAGTATTCTTCTTGGCCTTTCCGTGTAGAATTCCTCCTTCGAGGTTATGGGGCAGAACCCCTTTGGAATGAGGAGAGTCTTATGATGTACTCTTGGATAAGGATGGGTCAGAATTTCTTTTTGGCCAGCTCCATTTTGGCCCTCTTTTATTGTGTTTGTGATATCCCGATGAAATACATTTAGATCCACTGTTTTTCAATTTATTTTCATTCCCATTCTTACTGATTTAATTTTTTGAATGGGAATATCAGTATGCTTTTCAGAGTCAAATTACACTAAAAGTGAAGTATCCCTTCTAATCCCATTTTCCCCTCTCAGTGTATGTAACCAACTTCATTGTTTTTTGTTTTACCTTTTGATGTTTTGTTTCTTTAAAGTAAGGAGAAAATATGCACATGCATGTTCACATATATACACACATGTATGTATACACATAATACAAATTTTTCAATTTTCTTTCTTACACAAAGTAGCATACCCTATATGCTCTTTTAAAAAATCTAACTTTATTGAGATATAGTTTACATACTATAAAATTTACCTTTTTAGATTGTACAATTCAGTGATTTTTAATATATTAGTAGAGTTGTATAACCATCATCACTAATTCTAGAACATTTTCAACACTCCAGAAGGAAAACCATTAGTACTCCCTTCTCATTCCCTCTCTCTATGGCCTTTAGCAACTATTAAAATCTCTCTACAGATTTGCCTGTTGTGGACATTTCATATGTATGTGGTCATACAATATGTGGCCTTTTGTTTCTGAGCTTCTTTTTTACTTAGCATGTTTCCAAGGTTTATCCATGTTGTGATGTGTTATGGGTGAATAAAATATTCCATTGTATGCTGGACATTGTGGTTTCCACTCTTGGGCTTTTTTGAATAGTGCTTCTGTGAACAAACATTCATGTATAGGTGTTGGTGTGAACTTATGTTTTCAACATCTTGAAATTGTGGGATCATATAATAACTTAATGTGCATTTTGAGAAATTATCAGGCTTTTTCAAAGTGGTGCCATTTTATATTTCCACCAGCAATGTCTGAGGCTTCAGTTTCTTTCTCTACATCCTTCTTGACACTTATCTTTTTAAATAGCAAATACAGTAGATATGAAGTAGTACTTAATATGGTTTTGATTTGCATTTCCCTAATAATGATGTTAAACATCTTTGTTTTGTTTTATTTTTGTGGTATTGGAATCAAGCCCAGTGCCTTACACATGCTAGGCAAATGCTCTACCATTGTCCCAGCCCAACATCTTTTCATATGGTTGTTGACAATTCATATATTTCCTTTGGAGAAACCTCTATTCAAATCCTTTGTCTTTTTAAAACATTTCTCTTGTTATTATGGAATTGTAAGAGTTTATGTATACTTGGACACAAGTCTGTTATCAAAGAAATGATTTGCAAGTATTTTCTCCCTTTCTGTATCTTTTTCCCCCACTTTCTCAGTGGCTAGAACCTTCAGTTCAACAGGAATAGAAGTGGTGAGAGCTGACGTCTTTGTTTTGTTCCTGATCTTAGGAAGAAAGCACTCCATTTTTCACGACTGTGTTATCAGCTATGGGACTTTTATATGTATCCTGTATCTGTTGAGTACTTTTACCATGAAAGTGTTGGATTTTGCAAATGTATTTTCTGTCTCCATGGAGATGATTTTGTGTCTCCCTATTATTAATTTACATTAATATGATATATTCATTTATTGACTTTCATATATAGGAGTTGCTTGCATTCCTAGAATAAATTCTACTTGGTTATGGTGTTTAATCTTAGATCCAGTTTGCTAATATTTTTCTTTTTTTTTTTTTTGAGAGAGAGAGGGAGAGAGAGAGAAAATGAATATTTTTTTTTAATATTTATTTTTTAGTTTTCGGCAGACACAACATCTTTGTTTGTATGTGGTGCTGAGGATTGAACCCAGGCCGCACGCATGCCAGGTGAGCGTGCTACCGCTTGAGCCACATCCCTAGCCCAAGTTTGCTAATATTTTGAGGATTTTTTGTGTTTATGTTGGCTTTTCTTTTTTTTGTGTTTTAAGGATAATTTTTTGAGCTATTTCTTATATTTTAATATTAGTACTCATAGTGGTGCATTTATTCTTCTGCTTTAGTTATATCCATTAAGTTTCTTATTTTTCATTTTTATTACATTCATCTCAAAGTATTTTATAATTTTCTTTGATCTGTTTAGGATTATGTTAATTTCTATATATTTGTGAATTTTTCAAATTGTCTTCCATTTCACATTTTGTATTTTATCGTGGTTTGAAAGGCATTGAATGATTTCATTCCTTTTAAATTTACTGAGTGTTACTCCCTTTTTCCACTACTCTGACAGAATACATGAGGCAGGCTACTTTATAAGAAAAAAAAAAAAAAGAGACTTATTTTTGGTTATGTTTCCGTGGGGGGTGGGGAGTACAAGGTCAAGGGGCCATATCTGGTGCTGGCAGAATCCTGAGATAGTGCAGGGCTTCATATAGTCAGAAACAGAGTTTGTACATGTGTCTTTGTGTATCTGGTTTCTCTCCCTTTTCTTCTGAAGCTACCAGGATTTAATCATGAGGGCTCTACCCTAATAACTTGAATCCAGATTACTTCCCAGAGGCTCCACCTCTGAACATCATAGTCAGATACTAAGTTTTAATCCTCTTAATACCTCATAAAGATTGAAATTGAACATATGAGACACTTAAACCAATATCCAAACCATAGTATTGAGCCTTGTTATGTGGCCTAGTATAGGTCTGGTCTAGAGAATGTTCCATGTGCCCCTGAGAAAAATTTGCTTTTATTGAGTGGAGTGTTCTATTGATGTTTATTAGATCCAGTTGGTATACAGTATTGTTCAGGTCTTCTCTGCCTTGTCAATTATGGTGTTTTTAATAGCATGGTTATTTTTTATTCTAAAAATGGAAATTTTTATTCTAAAATTTGACACTGTACAGATAAAAATTAATTTTAACAAATTTATTGGGTGTTATATGTCAGGATCTTAGTTGCTGTGAATTTTTCAGTGAACAAAATAATTATCTCTTCCTAATGGAGTTTACATTCTAGTGAATGTATAGACAATGAAGAAACACCATATAATCTAACAGTTGATGTTCTGGAGAAAAATAGTATTTTTCAGGGAAAAAGGAATGTGCTTTAAACATCTTTTAAATTTACATTAATATGATATATTCATTTATATCATATAAATATAATGATATTGTGGTGGTGTTTTGAAGTTTAAAACAAGTGATCAAAAAAGGCAGCTGAAATGTTATTTGAGTAAAGATCTGGAGTGGAGGTTTAAGCCACCAGATACGTGGGAGAATAGTATTTAGGGCAGAGACAACTTGCAAATATGAAGACTGTGAGGTTAGGCTGTTTAATAGTTTCTTTAAGACTTAAATGCATGTCATATGATGATTCAATTAAATTGTTTTTTTTTTTCTTTTGGGAATGTAGATGCTTTTTAAAATTTCTGGTTTGAAGAATATCTTAGTGCAAAATAATTGAGTTATTTCTTCTTTCACCTCAAATTTTACTGCCACATGTCTTAGTATTTCACATTTGTTCATTTATTCATTTTCTCTCTCCCTTTCTAGAATGAAAGCTTCATGAGGGCTGGGATTTTATATACTACTGGTACCTAGTTTATAGTAGAAATCATTCAGCTTTTTGTTTAATGATGAATAAATGAATCACCAGACATGACTTCTTAGCAGATCCTCGTGAACTTAAAATATCTATATATCTCTACTCAGAAACAGTTTCTAGTGACTTTTTGTTACGAATATATGTATATATAAAATATATTGTATGATATCACCATTTTAAATTATAGAATTGGAAAGTAATTTTACAAAAGGTACATTTACATAAGTAATTTTACGTTAAAGGGAGATAAATTAAGTGCCCTTTTTTTACTTTATACTCTAGAAATGATCAAGCAGTAGATATCTATTTTACTCTAGTTATATGTTGCATTAAAAATTTGAATTCATTTTATTTGGGGTTTGGCATTTTGAGTTTTATGAATTTTCTGAATTCTGGCCTATATTGCATGATCTCTTGCTTCTCATTTCTAATGGAATGATATCTGCTGTTTTCCAGGTTGTGTGATAGCTGAGCTTTTTACAGAAGGTGTACCATTATTTGATCTCTCTCAACTTTTGGCTTATAGAAATGGACATTTTTTCCCTGAACAAGTGCTAAATAAAATTGAAGATCGCAGTATCAGAGAATTGGTAACTATGTTACAAATATTTGCCTTAGAGTCTTTATAGGACCGTGTCCCTGCCTTTGCATTTGTCTGCTCTTGGAATGTATAAATTTGGAAAAAAGCAGTAACAATAGATGAATACAAGTAGCCTATTATTACTTTATTAGGGAGAAATATACTGATGTTTTTCCTGTTGTGTGCAGAGATCATTTGACTAAAAAAAAAAAAGAATCTGTTATCTGTTTTCTTTTATAATCTTCATCTATGTTTTAGATAGATTTGCAAATAGGTGCCTGGATTTTAGAGAGATTATCCTACATAGAGCTTGCAAGTAAGAAAAGAAGGAGACAGGAAACATCAATTTGAATATAATACAATAGTGTAGGGCCATTTCATATAAAATTGAATTAAGGCAAGCCTGGAAGAGGATTTATAGAATCAAAAATTCGTATAGCAGAACAGGCATGAGAAATTCTATGGGTGGTCACTTAAAACACACACACATTACTGTTTGAGGACATCTTTGTTTTTGTTTTTGTTTTTTTTTTTGTATTGGGGATTGAATTCAGGGTCACTTAACCACTGAGCCACATCCCCAGCCCTTATTGTATTTTATTTTGAGACAGGGCCTCTCTCAGTTGCTTAGGGCCTTGCCAAGTTGCTGAGGCTGGCTCTAGAGATCCTCCTGCCTCAGCCTTCTGAGCTACTGGATTACAGGTGTGCTCCATTATGCCTGGCTGAGGATATCTTTTTTAAGTTAGTCATATAGTAACTGATGCTTGTTATAATGACTTTGATTCATGGAAAAGATGATGGTGAATTTAGAATACTCTTTAAGACAGTAGGGAAATATAGAATATAATTTCTCTTAAAAGTGGTAAATATTAAAAAAATAAGATGCTTCTGCAGAAGCCACTTTAGCTCATGTGCAGTAAATAGTACATTGGATTATAAATTGGCATTCCTAACTTTTTTGGTCTGTGAATGTGGCATTTATTAATTTGGCAAAGTAACTTCATATGTCTTTGGGCCGACATTTTCTTAACTGTTAAGGGAGTAAATTTGTTTAATCTTTAAGACTTAATCCAAATGTGAAGGTAATTGTTTTAGGTTACTTTTCAACATAGTAATATGTAATATAGAATATAATCAGAAAGCTCAAATAACCAGATACATCTTTATGATATTTTATATCTTTAAGTAATGGAAAGTTTAAACTATATTCTATTAAAAATTTTGTTTCCTATTTACTAGAGTAGAGGTGGAAAGGTGAGGGTGGGAAATGGTGATTGAAATCAAATTCCTTGCATGTATGATTTTGTCAAACTGAACCCAAATACTAAGTATAATTATAATGCTCTAATAAAAAATAAATAAAAATTTTTATTTCCTTATGATACTAGAAAACAGAATAAATTCAGATTAGGTATGTATTGTTTCTATTGTTCACAGAATTTAATCTCTCTCTCTCTTTTTTTTTTTTTTTTGAGTAACAGGGATTAAACTCAGGGGTCAGGAGTACTCAACCACTGAGCCACATTCCTAGCCCTATTTTGTATTTTATTCAGAGACAACGTCTCACTGAGTTGCTCAGAGCCTCACGGCTTTGACTCTCGATCCTCCTGCCTCAGCCTCCCAAGCTGCTGGGATTTCAGGCGTGCGCCACCATGCCTGGCTTAATATCTCTTTTACATTATTTTTTATTTTTATTTTTTGTGGTGTTAGTCATTGAACCCAGGGTCTTGTATGTGCTAGGTATTACTGAACTATACCTCCCGTCCATCTTTAACATTATTTGAAAAATTCAAACCAGTGATTTCACTGGGATGTGTTGGCCAGTGGTAAAGAACTTGCTTACCTTTCCCAAGGCCTTGGGTTTAATTCCCAGTACTGCAGAGTAAACAAAACAAATACCCTCCACATATTCCCCTTTTGACTAGATCCTAGAGATATACTTAAACTGTACATTATTTCTTTGGATTTTTTTTTAATATATAATATATTTTAGTTGTAGTTGGACACAATACCTTTATTCTACTTTCCATTTTTATGTGGTGCTGAGGATTGAACCAAGCGCCTCGCACGTGACAGTACAGTTTTAAACTAGAGATCTGAACAGGACATATGTAAATGGAGTTCAAGGTTTCTATGATTCCTTCTATAATTGTATATAATTTTTATTTGCAAAAATTTTGTTTATATATTTTTCTCTGGAGAAGATCCATTGCTTTTCTTAGATTCTTAGTAGTGTCATCTGCTCACAAAAGTTTAAGAATCTTTGAATTGTAGGTGTCAACATATTATTATCCTGTTTTAATAAATGGGGAATGTTATATGTCAGGACTATCTGTAACACATTAGTATGTAATTTCCTTTTACTTTCTAGGATGATAGTAGAGTTTTGTATTTTTTTGTATTCAGGTTCTGAAAGTAGTTTGTGAGATAAAGATTGAGGATAGTCAGAATTACCTCAGAAACCCTTTAAGTCACATGTAAATTGCCCTTATAACTTTCATCTGGTTTAATTTCCTGTTCTTAAATCTATTTTTATTCCCTTTCTCCCCTTGGTATAGGTAACTCAGATGATTCATCGAGAGCCAGATAAACGTTTAGAGGCTGAAGATTACTTAAAGCAGCAGCGTGGCAATGCCTTCCCTGAAATATTTTACACTTTCCTTCAGCCTTACATGGCTCAGTTTGCTAAGGAAACTTTTCTCTCTGCAGATGAGCGTATTCTTGTTATACGAAAGGATTTGGGCAACATTATTCACAATCTCTGTGGACATGATCTACCAGAAAAAACAGAAGGAGAGCCTAAGGAAAATGGGCTGGTTATCTTGGTGTCTGTTATAACATCCTGCCTACAGACTCTTAAATACTGTGATTCCAAACTTGCTGCTTTGGAACTTATTCTCCATTTGGCCCCAAGATTAAGTGTAGAAATCCTTTTGGATCGCATTACTCCATATCTTCTGCATTTCAGCAATGACTCTGTTCCTAGAGTGAGGGCTGAAGCCTTGAGGACATTGACCAAAGTTCTTGCTCTTGTCAAAGAGGTTCCTCGCAATGATGTCAATATCTATCCAGAATACATTCTGCCAGGCATAGCCCACTTAGCCCAAGATGATGCTACTATTGTTAGACTAGCCTATGCTGGTAAGATTTTATTGTCCAGATTGTAGCTACTCAGATATTTTTAAAGTTAGTGACTACAATACCTCTGATTTTTCTGATTTCTTTGGAAATTACAAGTGTGAGCTTGGCTCTTTGAACTATCTGTGTAAATTTTAATGTATTTGTAGCTAATCTTATTCCTGGGATTCAACTTTTGTGTGTTCTTCCATTTTTGAAGTAGTTAGAATTATCAAGTAAAAAAGTATAAAATACAAAATCTTATGCTTTTATTGGTAGTGTTATATTTAACTTGGAATAAGGCTAATGTTTACAACTATGTGCTTCTGATCTAGTGTTTCTAGGCCTTTCTGATGTTTCTCAGAACAAATCTACTTGTGTAGCTCTCAGTTTTAGGTTATAACAGTCTACTATTGAAAAAGATTAGTTTTTTGGAGTAATTTTGTATTCAAAGAAACTAGCATACTTTCTGAATTTTAAGGTCCTTCTTCTAATTACTCTAGTGCTTAGGGTGTGTAGTTTCTTTGTGATGAGGTGCTATTACAAACCACTACCTATTTCACTTGCAATTCTTACTCAAAGGTAGTGATACAGATTTATATTTTTAGCTCCCAAAGTCAATTCTGAATGCTTATTTTAATATAGAAAATGTCACTGAAACATATGTAGTATTATAATTTATTTTGTTTTCTGATGGAAGTCAGAGCTTCTGTTTTGAAGTCTTTGTAAAGAGTACATAGGTTGTATATAGTCGTAATTTTGTCACTTTTTTGAAAGAAACTTGCTTAGTTTATTCATTTTATGATTTGCCTGCCACTGTTTTAATGGAGCATGTAAAAAATGGTCTTTAGGCGCTAGTCTTATCTCTAGGCTCATCTGCAAAGGGATTGGTGGTTGTTGGGTGTTTTTCTTTTTCCATACGTATATAGTTATTTATACTTATCTCTGCCTGTTTGTTTATTTTTGGTTTCTGTTTTTCATAATTGTATAGGTATAAACTTTAGGTCTAGAAATCCAGGATTTCTTTAAGCACAGTAGAGCTTATTATTTATAACAAGCATATTTATAATTCATTTGGCAAATGTAAATAATGGAACAGAGGAAACCAAGTTAGATAACAGAAAAGTTTATAAATTTAAAAAATTAAGTTGTATTTTTCTTTCCAGGGTTTTATGATCCTTTAAGGCCTAGTGTATTCCATGTGTTTTGATGTATAGGTGCCATAGTAACGTATTGATACCTGATTACTATTAACCATAGCATAATAGCTGCTGTTTATTACAAATCCTCCTAGGTGTCAAGGAACCTACTGCTCAAGATTGTTGCAAGGATTAGTTGTGAGTTGAAGCAGCTTTAAGTAATAAATGTTATAGTGTCTTCATTTTAAAGGTTAGGAAATTGGGATTAGAAGAGCCTAAATAACGTGAACCAAGTCTGTGTGATCTAATTCTCAGTTCTTAGAGCTGCTGGGTTAGATATTGGTTTCAAAGCAGTCCTGCTTTTCCGGTCTTCTGGATCTTAATGGTGACAGTCCATGATAACCCATGGTCATTGTCAGTACCTTTCATTGTTCCTTCATGGCCCAGTGCATGATAAAGAAGCTTTTTAAAGGAAGAGATAGTCTATTTGATTAAGTATAATTAAACCATACATGTCAGTCATTATAAAGTTTAAAATCAATGTACTTTTTTTTTTGATCTCAGAGATACTGACATAGATTTCTGTCTTGTTTAAAATGAACTTTCAAGTGTGTTGTGTTTATGGACCTACATGGGGAAATAATCATAGATCTACTCAGATTTTAAAAGTGCCCATGGAAGTAAGAGACTTTTCCTAATAAAGACATATATATATTTGGTCCTCCATAGCCATGGGTTCCTCCTCCATGGATTGAACCGACTATTGGTTGCCTAACATGTACAGACTTTAAAATCGTCGTTCCCTAAACAGTACAGTGTAACAAGTATTTATATAGCATTTAAATAACATTATATAGGCATTAGAGTTGCCTGCAGATGAATTAAAATATATGAGAGGATATGCATAGATTTATTTATTATTTTTACATAAGAGACTTGAGCATCCACAGATTTGGGTATCCAAAAGGGGTTCTCGTACCATTCCTCCATGGACACCAAGGAACGACCATACTCTTCACAGTTGGGGTATTTATCTAGAATTCTGACTTACTACCAGTGTATGGCCAAGAAATTTCCTGTCTTTAGGGTGAGCAGGCATTGTAGGTCATTAAAATCTTGCATACTTAACATTTAGTATTGGATCTGTTCAGGGTGGTGTTGAACTCAGAATGGTGGGGAGTGAGAGCCCAAGATGAAAATAATCACTGTATTTAATAGGCAAAAACCTCAACTATTATTTAGGGTGCATTTTTAATTTCATAGATTTTTTAAAAAGTAGGGAAGACGTCAGTTTTAAGTTTAAGTAGGTCAACTTTATGTTCAGTTCTTCATTGCTAAGAAGGAAAAGTACAGTCTTTGTGTCCTATGTTAAACATAGAAATGGGAATGCAAGGGAGGATACAGATACTGGAATAAATAAAAATGGAAGGACTATGAAAATACAAGTGAAGAGTAGATATAATTGATAGTAAACATGATAGTAGAAATTACTTTGTTCCACTAAGAACTTCAGAGTATCACTTTCAAAGCAGTCATTTATTCAATTTGACAGTGGCTCTTTAAGGTAGCTGTGATTCCCATTTATGTGTGAAGAAAGCCAGATTCAGATTGTTTAAACAGCAAGCCAGTAAGTGGCAGGGTGTAGATTTGAGTCCAGGTGTTTCTGATTCCAAAGCCCAGCTTGATGTTATTTTAATTTAAAATTTTCTATGTTAGTCTAATAAATATCTCTGACCTGCCAAGTAATTTTTAAAGGGTAGGCCTTTGTAGAAGAATTAAGCTCCCCCTCATTATATTTGTGTGTCTATATTGGGTTATTTTTATTATTTTAAATAAAGCTGATGTTTCATTGTTAAAACCAGCAGTTTGGAGATAGTTGTAGATTATGAAATTAGTTACTGAAAATTTGATTAGTTAAATTGAAAAGTCCTAAGTTTCCCCTTAGTTTTATGGTTATTACTTACAATTATAAAGACTTAGGAAAAGTTGTAAGCATCACAAATGTTTATAATTATAATTATTATAAATTTTCTCCCTCTTTATCTTACAGAAAACATAGCTCTACTGGCAGAAACAGCTCTGAGATTCCTGGAATTAGTACAGTTAAAAAATCTCAACATGGAAAATGACCCTAATAGCGAAGAAATAGATGAAGTTACACATTTGAATGGGAATTATGACACAGGTTGTGTAATTTTTTCACCTAAAATTCCTATTAGATTGAATTGCTAAAACTGTCATTTGTAGTTTTTATGGGAGATGAAGAAATTGCAGATATTTGGATAGGATGGGTCCTTTGTGATTGTTTTTTTCTAACTTTGTACATACATTGTTATTTAACTGGAAAATAATCAGCTAGACACCCTAGATTCCAAACTTAATTGTTTTTCAGCCAGAATTGATGTATGTGAACAGTAAAGCTAGCTGAATTATTAAATTCTCAAAAAAATGGAAACATAGCTAGTGAATCTAAACCTTTTCTTATGTCAGTACATTTTGAGTATCCTTAATCACAAATTGCTTATATTTTATACTGTGTGATTTACTTATTAAAACCCATTGCATTTATTGTAAAGAACAGATGTCATGATAAACTCACTGAAGTTGTGTCTTTGATTTTCCTTTCTTTGTTTCTTTTTTGTGCTGAGGATTGAACCCAGGGGTCCTCTGAGCTACATCCCCAGCCCTTTTTATTTTTTATTTTGAGACAAGGTCTCATTCAGTTTCTGAGGCTGGCCTTCAACTTTAATCTTCCTGCTCAGCCTCCCAGTAGCTGGGATTATAGGTGTGCATCATCATACTTGGCCTCTGTCTTGATTTCCACACAACTTTTAACAGGTTTTTAGCTAATATTTGAGTGGAAGATTTAGAAGTAAAATCATATCTGCTCCAAGGTGATTTTAGTTGAAGACAACTAGAGAAATCTTGTTTATGGATTTTTATGTATAGACAATTGTGATAGCAGTTGGACCTTTGTAGACAATGAATTTAGATATTAAAACTTTCGAGGAGTTAAATCTAAAGTTTTTCTTACTGTTGAGTATGTAACTTTGCGTAGTGACCTGTTCACCTTTTGCCTTGGTAGTAGCTGGATGGAGCAGGAGTAGTTTCTGCTTTCTTTCCTTTAGTCAACAAATATTTGTTAAACATATTCTGGGCATCAGTCAATTATGAACCTGCTCTAAGTACTGGGGATATAGTAGTGAATAAAAGAATGATCTGTACTCTTGAACTTTTAATAAATGGAAGATAGGCTAAGTAAATAAATGAAAAGGGATAAGATGAGTAGAAGATAAGTTCAGAAAAGGTGGCTGAATAAATGATATAAAGCCTTGACAGGATTGGCAGTATGTTTTCTGGCTTTCTAAAATAATAAATCAACATTTGAAAATGCTTTCTAAACATATTGCCTAGTACCATTATATTTATTATATCCAGAGACAATCTGATCTTTTTCAAGTTCTTGATTAAGTCATTATTTTGGAGTAATGTTTACTTTCTGGTACTTCCCTCTCATTTTCTTCTTAAATTCATAAGTAGAGATATTTAATTAGATAGTAACATACTTATAGCATCTGCTTATTAGGATATTCTTCAATTTACATTTTAGTTGCCCATTCATCAGAATGTGGAAGAGTGGAAAAGCATAGTGATTATAGACTATACAAAGTGGCTTCATCATCCTGTTATTCCAAGGAGTAAGAAAGAAGGCCCAGTCTAAAAATTGATCCTTTTTTTTTTTTGGCAGAACTCCAAGCCTTACATGAAATGGTCCAGCAGAAAGTTGTCACTTTGTTAAGTGACCCAGAAAATATTGTGAAACAGACTTTAATGGAAAATGGAATAACAAGGCTGTGTGTATTCTTTGGACGTCAGAAAGCCAATGATGTTTTGTTGTCCCATATGATCACTTTCCTAAATGATAAGAATGATTGGCATCTGCGTGGAGCTTTCTTTGATAGTATAGTCGGTATGTTGTTAAGTTAATGAAATTTCAATTTTAAAATGTAATTGTTTTTGTTTAATATAAATTCATCATCTGCTAACTCTGCAACTTGGAAGCTTTTGAGGGAAAGATGTTGGTGTGTAAAATTAAATAAACCCCCACAATGATAAAAGATTATTCCTAAAAAGTTAAAAAAAATTATTTTTAATGACTTGGGGGACTAAGGCCAGAGCAACACAAATTTGGGGTCAACCTCAGTAATTTAGCAAGGCCCTAAGGAACTTAGTGAGATTGTGTCTCAAAATAAAAAATAAAAAGGGCTGGGGATATGGCTCAGCACCTTTGGGTTCAATCCCTAGTACCAAAAATAAATAAAATTGATATTTAAGATTAATAAATTATACTTTTAAATACTTATTCAAGCTGAAGGATAGGTAAATAATATTACCAAATTCATTAATGAGAATTCTTAATATTTTTGTTTTCATGTTGCATTTAGATGATGTATTTTAGTTAATCAAAAGTGCTTTTGTAATTGAACTATCAGTCCAAGTGAAGGAATAGCATGTGCTTATTGAAATCTGTGTTTTAAAAGAATAATTACCTGGGAAATATCATGAAATATTGTTAAAGTATGTGAAGTAGGTTGTGAGTCTTAAAGTGTGATCCCAGTTGTTTAAATGTAAAAAAAAAACAACACAAATTCTGTTTGTAATAAAGACAGTTATACTAAAGTATAAGAGTGATTATTTCTTGGTCTGAGATAGTAGGTAATTGTTCTCTATATTTTCTATGTCAGGTTTTCTACAGTGGATATGGATTACTTTTAGAATTAGAAAATAGTTAAAATATAATTATGGTTGACAGTCTATTAGAAAGTTAAAATTTATACACTTGGCTTTGTGTAAACTGAAATTTTTTTGAAAAATTAAGCAACTCTTTTTGTTTTCTTTCATTTTGCAATCTTGATTTTCAAATTTATCAAAGAAGACAGGCATGTTTAATTTAGTAATATAACTCCTTTTACATTTAAATTCAACATTATAAATAAATGAATTGGATTTTGTTTGAAGTGTGTTAAATCATGCTTGAGATAGGATTTAATATTTTTTGAATAATATTGATTCCTTTCTTGTTAGATGTTCTAATCTTTCCAATTTTAGGTTAGGTCACTTATGATATGTTATATGCTAAATACAGATCCCACGTGATCTGTTACCTCCAAAAGGTTAAAAACTCTTCTACACATTGGAAATTGTGCCTGGTGATATATACTCTTTCATGATATAGCAGAAAGCTTAAGGCTTTAAGTTTTGGCTTTTAGTAATGTAGGAAAGTAAGTGCTATAAGGTTTGCTGTTGGATTTTTTTTCCTTAAAAAAAGATTAGAGTAAGATATATTCCATTCTTGTGTAAATATTTTGATAGATTCTACTGTCATGTATAATTAAAAAGAATAAATAAAAAAAAATAATAAAATTGAAAGGGCTAGAGTACATGTAGTTCAGTGTTAAAGTGCACCAGGTTTAATTCCTGGTATTAAAACATGAAACTAAATAAAATTTAAAAAAATAAAACGAAAGAAACCTATGTGGCAATGAGATTGTTATTTCTGTAAATGCTATCATATAATGTTTTGGGAAAAAAGGATACTTTCTGATTTGAAAACCTTTGGAATTCTAGCTTTTTTGTATGTTATTATTAAGGGAAATTTCTGTAATTCTCTTTTTCTGGCATCTTTGTTTTGTTTTTATTTTTGCATTAGTTTATTGATGCATTTATCAGATTTGCATTTAGGAATCTGTCCACCTCAGTTCCTGAATATATTATACTTTGCTTCTCACATCTTTTTGTCTTTCTTGCTTCTTTTTTTCCTTCTTCCAGATAATCTTATTTCTTTTCTTAGAAAATAATGGTCCCAGAACTTCCCCCATTTATTGATCAATTCATATGTGTTTTGAAGTATATATTAGTTCTTTTTCAATAAAAATTAATTTTCATTGATTATTTATTTGTTTATAAAAACCATACATACATGCTATAGAAAGTTTGGAGAATACAGAAACCAAGAAAGCAAGCAAATATTTCTAACCCTGCATCCTGCATAGAAACTTTTTAACGTTTTGGCGTTTTTTTCCTACAGGTCTTTCTTTTTTCTTTCTATCCCATCTGTCCTATTCTGTATGTATTAATGTTCAAGAGCAGGCACTGTGGAAACAGACTCGGAGTTCAAGTTCTAACTTGGTCTCTTATTAAGTTTGTGGTTCTTGGGAAAGCTATTTCAATCTTTTTTGTGCCTTAGTTTCCCTATCTGTAAAATAGAGATAAAATATCCATTTAATTGTTTGTTGTGAAGACAAAGTAAATTCACAAATGTAGTAATGCCTGATATATAAGTGCTATGTATAATATTACTTCTTAATTTAATTTATTGTTTTTAAAACTTTTCTAGTAACATTTTAAGCATATCTAAATGACATTAAATTCTTTGAAATCATAATTTAATAGATCTAAATTATTTCATTGTATAATTTTATCAGTTCATTTAAGCCTTATTGAAAGTTTATATTATTTTTATTTTTAATCATGTTAAAAGATAGTCTTTTACATATTTATTTGATTAAGTAAAATACTTAGGTATTTAAGTAGAGTCATGTGCTGCTTAATGGAGTTACATTCTGAGAAATGCACCCTTAGGTGATTTCATCATTTTCAGATGGGTGTACATATGCAAACTAAGGGGCGTCTGTAATGTCACAAGGTGATATAATCCTGTGGGACTACTGCATAAGTTGTTGATTAAAACATTATTTTTGGCATATGATTGTATTTATTTTTGTTTATTTTCTTAGGATAGATTAAATATTTTAATTATTGAGTTAAAGAATACTAATATGTTTTTAAAACTTTTGTCACATTTTACAAGTTTTTCAAAAAGATTATGTCACTTTCCACTCCCATCAACATTAAATGTTGCCCATTCTTGCAGCAAAGGAATAGGCTTTCCTTAAGTTGTGCTTGTTGGAAGGATAAAATGATAATGGGGTTATATTTGACATGTATTTCTCTGCTTACCTATCAAATTGGAAAATTTTTTTATTTCTTATTTTATGTTTTTTAACTCATTATTTTGACCCTTTTTTTCTGATGGAGTTATTTATGTGTGTTGATTTTTTTTTTGTCTTTTATATATACACATAATGAACATTAACTTTTTATCATCTTAAAGGCACATACTTCTCTCAGTTTGTTTTAACTTGATGATATTTGTTTTTATAGACTTTCTTAAATTGAATTTTATGTAGTCAACTTATATGTAGATTTTTTGCTCAGTGATTTTTTTTTTTTTTTTTTTTTTTGCTTTTATACTTTTTCCCATTCCAGAATTAAATCAATCTGTTGTATGCTTTTCTTCTTCTTGCTTTATTTTGGAAATTTGCTGGTTTAATTGTGTTTTTGTTTTTTTTTTTTTTTGGCGAATAAAATCTAAATTTTATTTTCTTAGTAAGTAAGCCAGGTTCTCCAATAGTATTTATCAAACACTTTGTTTTGGTTTGTGAAGTTTTCTTTATCACCTGTTGTATTCTTCTATTAGGGTCACTTTTCTGGGTATACACTCTATTCCATAGATCTTCCTATTTTGAACACATATTATATTTACATTATTATATAATCAATATTAGTATCTGGTAAAGTAAATTTCCAGATGTTGTTTCTTCATTTCCATAATGTTCTTCATTTCCATATATGTTTAAGCTAATTGTACATTTCAGCTAGTCAAGTTTCTAAATGACCCACTGCTGGAATTTTCGGTAGTATTTTTCCTTTTATTAAAGGAAACATTTCTGAAATTACTTTTTGTCACAAGGGAAATATACTTTTGTAAGTTATCTAGTTTATTCAAAATATATAATGTAATATATGGAAGGCAGTAGTTGTGATTTACAGAGGCATACTACCCAGGTTTGTGTTTGGGGACTTTTGTCTTCAGATGATTTGTTACCAGTATTTCTAAATAATATTTTCATAATACTGTTTTCAGTATTATAAACTTTCAATGCTATCTCTTGAATTTTTTTCTATGCCAGATGAAGATTGAACTGACTCCTAACCATGCCTTGATTTCTCTTCCCTTGTCAGTTTTTGAATTGTCAGTTGATTATTATCTTCCAGAGTGCTTTAGTTTTGTTTATTGTTGTTATAACGTTATGTAATTCAGACTAGTCTTATTGCCCTACTTTTAATTTGTACTACAAGAGGATTAATGCCTTCTTTTCTTTCTCTCCAGTTGACTTCTCAATAGTAATTTCATTGTCATAGGATAATATTTACCTTCTGTTTTGTAATCATAGTAACATCTTTTGTGCTTTGTGTAGACTTGAGTCTAAAGGTTGAGAACAAAATTTACATGATTATGAATGTAATTTTTTTGAATGTAGAGCCAAGTAGTATATTTATTTCACCACAGTCCGAGTTCCAAGAACCTTCCCTAACTTGAGCTTGTGTGTAGCAATGTCAGTAGATTATACTATTTTCCCTCTTTCTGTGACTATATTACACATTTTAATCTATTTAATGTTAAGTTTCTTTTATTTGTCCAGGAGTTTTAGATTCCTTTGTCTTCCTTTTTTAGAGAAAAGTAATATACTATCTTCATATTTATAATGTTTAGCTTCATTCTTAACGATTTTATTTGTTGCTTATAATCTATTTCACTTTTTTTCTTCATGACATTCTTGAAGTTTATTGGCTTTTATTTATAATTTGGGATGACTGAGTTCTGGGTTTTTTTTAGCATCATCTTTTTTCCCCCCTTGAATGCCTAGCTTACATCTACCATTGTTCACATTTTCCATCTTCTTTATTTCACTGGAATTTATCCTCAAACATTTTTTAGGAAGGATTGCATGAGAAATAAACCTCTGTAGTCCTTGCATGTCTTGAAATGACTTAACTTTTTGTTTTCTTATTTGACAGTTTGAGTATAGAATTGCTTTCATAACTTTGAAGGTCTTGCTCTGTTGTCTTCTAGCTTCCATTGATGCTGAAGATCATCTGATGGCAGTATGATTCTTCTTCCTTTTTAGGAGACCTATATTTTCCTTTTTGTAAGTTTTTAGGATCTTTGCATTTTCTTGATGTCCCAGAATTTCTTGATGATTTGCTTTGGTATGGGTCTTTTTCATTTATTATGCTGGGTAGGAAGTGCAGTGTTTTTTCCTGAGTTGTTGATCAATATATTTGGCTTTTGATTAATTTTAATGTTTTATATAGTGATAATGTATACTTTCAGGTATTGAGTAATTATGTAATGTTGCTCTTCATTTTCAGGTGTTGCTGCCTATGTTGGCTGGCAAAGCTCCTCGATTCTCAAGCCCCTGCTGCAACAAGGTCTCAGTGATGCTGAGGAATTTGTTATTGTGAAAGCTCTTAATGCACTTACCTGTATGTGCCAGTTAGGACTACTACAAAAACCCCATGTCTATGAATTTGCCAGTGATATTGGTGAGTTTCTGTTTTGAAAACTTAGAATGGGAAAATCAGGGTATGGGAATAATTTCATAAAATTTCTATTGTAACTTTATCATTGTAACTTTATTATTTTAAGTATTGATTGTGTGTGTATGTGTACATTTATGCATGCATGTATGCAAGAGACAGGTGGACTTATTTCCTTCATCTCAGGTTGGGAAGTATTGTTTTGTTTTCATCAGTTGTTAAATCTTTGTGACCATTGAAAAAACTCAGTGTTTATTATTATTTTTTTAAACATGATATGCATAAGGTGTTTACTATTCTGAAGAATCGTGTATTTTGGGTTGTAGCTCAGTGGTAGAGCACATGCTTAGGAGTTATGAGGCCCTAAGTTCAATCCCCAGTACCAAAACAAAATAACCCCAAAACACCTTAGTCCAGTACGAAAACAAAACACCTTAGTTTTAGGGCACTTGACCATTATTCAAGTTGACCACTGGATGTGAAAGATTGTTTATGACATCTGTTCTTGCATTGTTTGGTAGTAAACAATTCATAGTATTGAAAGTACTATTAGTAATTTTATGAACCAGTGGAAGGAATTTATTCCTTGAGCTTTATACAAGGATCTGTTTTTCTCAAACTTTGAAAATGCAGAATTATAGCAAACAAATACATATGGCAAATGCTAAAATTAAGAATATCTTGAATTTTTAATGGTATTATCACTTTAAGAAAGAAAGCAATGTAATATTGCCAGTAGGCTTTGTGTATTGAGAGGACATGTAATCTTAGAAAATTTCCTTTTTACATACGATACTTAATTTCTGCAGAATGATTTGGCAGGGAAAATTGGTGGAAAGTCAGACCTGGCAAAAGGTAAAATTTTCTTTTTAAAAACTGAGTAGTATTTCATTGTCTTTATCCATTCAGTCTTCAATAGACACAGGCTAATTCTCTCTCTTTGTTATTGTGAGAATGTTGCAGTAAATATTGGAGTGCAGATATATCTACAAAGGTGCTGACCTAATTTCCTTTTATGATAGTTTACTTTGATAGATCATAGGTAGTTCACTTTGTTTTTGAGGACCCTTCTTACTGTTCTCCATAGTGACTGTTCTCATTTATATTCTCACCAACAGTGTACAGGTGATCCTTTTTTTGTACATCTTGATCAGATTGTCTTTTGTGTTTTTGATAGTTAACCATACTGACATGTGAGGTTATACCTCTTTGTTGGTTTGATTTGCATTTCCCTAATTAGTGACAGTGAACATATTTTTCATATTTCTGTTGACCATTTGTATGTATTCTTTTGAGAAATGTTTACTTTGGTCTTTTGGCTCTGGGTTATGCCTAGGTCCTGGGTTGTTGGGTTTGGGCCTGGCTGTGGGCCTAGGCCTGAGCCTGAGTCTAGGTCTGTAGAGGGTAGCCTGATGCTGGGGTCTTTTGGGGTGGATATGGAGTCTGAATCCATGGAGGTGGGCCTGGGCCCTGGGTCCATAATGACTAACCTAGAGGCTGAGACTGCAAGGGTATGCATGGAACCTGGGTTTCAATCTACTTTCTTTTTCTTTCACTCCCATTCCACCTCCTCTCCCTTCTCCCTTTCTCTCTCCCTCTTGTGGTGCTGTATCACTGAGATTACACTCCCAGCCTATCTCAGTCTGTTTTCTGTTGCTGTAATTGAATACCAAAGGCACAGTAATTTATTTATTTTTTTAAAGAGGCTTATTTACTTTGTGGTTCTGGACATCTAAGAGCATGGTGCCAGTATCTGCTTGGCATATGGTGATGAGGATCCTTCTGCCAGATCATGACATGGTAGAAGGCATCACATGGTAAGGCAGAGCAATCTCGTTCAGGCCTTCCCTACTTATAAATCCATAGCCTCATTGGATTAAGGTCCCACCCTTATGGCCTAATTAAACCTTTATTATTTCCTAGAGGCTCCACCTCCAAATACCATAGTTGAATTAAGTTTCTACCCTGTTAATAATTGACAGTGATTATTCAATTTTAATATGAGTTTTGGTGGAGACATTTGAACCATAGCACTGGTTTCTCACTGGGGTAAGCCTGGTGCTGTGGTCCCTGGCAAAGCTGGATGCTCACTTAACTCTACTTCCACTTAAAAGGTGTCACTCCAGGCTGTGCTTCCCAGGCTTTGAGTAAGGTAATGTAACAATGTCCTTTCTACCCTCTTCAGTAAATCTTTTCTTATTTTTGTGCTTATACTCAAGTGCTGCAATCTCTCACCTGGATTCTTTGGCTTTCATATATTTCCTATATGAATAGTTGTTAAATAGATTTTTCTGCAAGAGGGTGAAAGCTGAACTGTCTTATTCTACCATTTTGCTTACATCACTGCTTTAGAGGTTTTTTTAAAAAAATTTTTTAGATGTTGATGGACCTTTATTTTTTTCATTTATTTATATGCGGTGCTGAGAATTGAACCCAATGCCTCACACATGGTAGGCAAGTGCTCTACCACTGAGCCACAACTCCAGTCCCCTGTAGTGATTTTTAAAGGGAAAGATAATGATGTTCTTGACAGAGATTATTATGATTTCTTTGGCAGCTCTTTAAAAAGCTATGTTATTCTCACTTAGATGTAAATACTATCTTCTTCTTGTGCTTGTCTTCAGTGAATTAGAATGTGTGGAATAGAGAAAAGATTAAGTACTTTGGTTTATAAGAAATTCTTTTGATCGAGGCTTCTTGTTTTTTGAGTATTTGACATGGTCTAGTATTGATATAATAATGTTGTATGTGGGACAACTGCAAAAATCTCAGTAAATACTTAAATAAATGTATCATGCATCTATGAGTTGTATGGGTGGTTCTGCTTCAGGCTATGCATCTCTAGATTGTCTTAGGTGAGTGTGATCCATCTGTCTCTTTATGTGGCCCTGGTTATAATGATTGTGGCTACCTAGGTTATATTCTTATGATGATATCAAAAACAAGAGAAGGAATCCTAGCTAAGCAGCACATTTCAAGTTTCCCTCTGGACTAATGTTTGGTAGCATGCATTGGCCAAAGCAAGCAAGATGATAGAGCTGAAAGAGCAAGGGACTAGAAGGTATGCTTACATACCCTAAGTGCATACACATTGCATATGTATGGTTAAGACTTGAGATCAATAATTTAGTATGACACAGTGCCCAACTTCTGTCATGCAATTATGGTTTTAGATACTTTCTGGAGGTTTATGATTTTTTCAGTTTTCATTTCCCCTCTTTGTCAGAGGGAAAATACCAGCCCTCCCTTGTTTGATGGTTCACAGATTGTAGGTTTATAAAATAACAAAACTTTTTGTGAATTTAGAAGAAATGGAAATGAGAGAACTTAGGAGAGGGATCTTAAATGAATCTTTTCTAATTCCTCTTTTACTTAAGTATTAGCAACATATAGTGCTATTTATTTATAAATGTAAATTTCTTATGGAATAAATATTCTGTAAATAAATATCTTTGCACAATCATAGCCAGTGAAATTTTTTTGCACTTAGAAGTTTGAATTTTATTCTAAATCAGGTTAGTCTAATTTTGATTAGTTGAAATCATTAATTTTATGTTTAATACATAAAAGGGATGAAAAGACATTGATTTAATTTTCTGATTTATTTTATTTTGTAGTTTTTAAGAATGGGCATGATGTTTTCTACCTTTTTAGTTTCCATTCATGACGTTTTGTGAATGAAATTATGAATTATGTGTTAGGTTTGTTCAAACCCCTGCATTTAAAAATAATTCCAGATAGATCAAATTAGTCCCTTAATTGTAAGGCTGTGGCTTGCAGAAGAAAAGCTTCCCAGTTTCTCTGCTTCTTGTATGAAAGATACTGTGTCCTTGATCTTTTGTGGGAGTTTAATTGGAAGAGTTAATCATTTGCTTTATGTTGTTAAGACTTTATGTCTGGGGTCAGTATTTGTTAATCTAGTGTTATAAGTGAGTAGGTGACCATACATCTTCAGCTCTGGCTAAAAAGTGGAAATGTAAGAAATGTAAAATTCTCAGAAAATAGGTAACTTTTTATTCTTTAATGGTATTGCTTATCTCTGTGGTAAGGGGATATTATAATAATAACTATGCATTCAGTTGATTGAGTTTATGCACAGCTGAATTGAGTATGTGACGAAATCTTATAGTAACATTGTGGTTATGTGGGTAATAATCTCTATGGAATTTGTTATAAGTCAAGAATTTGTCCTGATTGTTTGAAACTATTTGTGAAACTGCTTTGATACATAACTTTTTTTTTCTTCTTTAGCCCCTTTCCTATGTCATCCTAATCTATGGATACGCTATGGTGCCGTGGGATTTATCACAGTGGTAGCCCATCAAATAAGTACAGCTGATGTCTACTGTAAACTGATGCCTTATCTTGATCCATATATTACCCAACCAATAATACAGGTATACATGTTCTAATTTGGAGTCAATCTTCCTTACAAAAATGTGTCTCTTAAAAATAAAAAGACTAGACTGATTTCTTCTTCTTTTTTTAGTTTTTAAAAATTTAAGTTGGACTATAACATCTTCATACTCCTTTCAAGCTAGTTAATGTTCACGGACCAAGCAACCTTGATAGCTGAGAAAAGTTCAAGATAATATTATGTCACACATAATATAGTGTGCAGTAGTTCATGCTTTATTTTCTTTACATAATGTAAAATATGTGTTCTTAAAGTGAAAAGTATAACTGATTTCAGTCAAGTTATCATTTATAATAAATTAGTATGTGTGTTGTCTTTCTCTTTCTCTCTCTCTTTTTACCAGCACTAACTGGTTCTGGTTTCTTTTTTAAAAACCTAATAATAATGATTCCCTTCCCCTCCTTCTAGCCTTATTGTGTCTGGTGATAAACTTTGAATCTGTCATTAGTGCAAAGCAAATTTATTTGATTATCAGTGTTTATATCATTCATCTTGTTGGGCAGCTAACTATAAAAATAGATATCTAACTTGAATAGAATACTGAAGGATGAGTCTGGCTGTTAAAGCATCCTACTTTTACTAAAACTCCATCTTCCATTTGGAAATTTACGTGCTTCTCTGGTTTGTTATGTTTTTATATCAGTGAGTCTTTCCTTTGGTTGAAAAAAGTGACATTGGATATACTCTGTCAAATAGGAATCTTTGGCTGTGCTGTGTCGTCAGTTTTATTTTCAGATTCATCCATTTCTGGGGATCATCATTCTTTATTTCATAGAGTTTGTAGAATTGTTTTTCAATTTGTGTATATATAAGAGCAATTTGTATATTTGGAAGATGGTTAACACTACTAGTAAGTATGCCTTTTCATTTTAGATATTTATTTATGCTGTCTTGGAAATCAGGGATAGAGGTGCCTACTCCTTTTCATGAGTTATTCTATTTATTTTATTACTGTTTTATATTTTGAAAGCAGGGATCAGGAATAGAGAGTAAGATTATCCATTTGCTACATAAATCTTTCCTTTTTACAGTTTGGATTAGATAAAAGATAACCTTTAGTGCAAGTTTCCACTGACCAACTCACTAGCTAATTGAATAAATCTAAAAAAGATCCTTTTTGGTTAATGTTAGTAATGCTAATCATTTTTATTATATGCATCAACAAGGAATTTTTTTTTAATTTTTAGTTGTAGATGGACCCAATATATATATATTTATTTATTTTTATGTGGTGCTGAGAATGGAACCCAGGGCCTCACGTGAGCGAGGCAAGCGCTCTACCACTCAGCTACAGCCCCAGCCCCGGAAAATATTCTTAGTGATAATAAAAGGAAGAATTTTATGATATCTATGGAGAGAGCATATAAGAAATATTAATTAAGTGGTTGAATCTGTTGGGAAAATGTGGAAACTGAAGGGAAGACCTGTGGTTACTTATCATCTCTGGTTTTGCATTTATGTATTAGACCTCTGAACTGCAGGTGTTTTTTAGATCTAGAAAGTATTCTGTCATGTTTGGATCTAGAAAAGGTTCTTTTGACTTTCTGAAAAATTTTGGCATGGATATTTATTATTAGTCTTTGAGCATGATAGACAGAGGTGTATTTCAGTGGTAATAGAGAAAAGTAAGAAATACCTTAACCTTTAAAGCTCACTACTATTCTTTTTTCTTTTGCAAATATTGCAAATGTTGATATCTTTCATTTTCTTAGAAAATAAATACCTGTATTAGCTTACACAGGTTGTATTTAACTGAATCTGAAAATAAGTATTTTTCACTGATTCTTTCTATTTTTCTAATATAGATTGAAAGAAAACTTGTCCTGCTCAGTGTTTTAAAAGAGCCAGTAAGTCGTTCTATATTTGATTATGCTTTGAGATCTAAAGATATTAGTAGCTTGTTCAGACATCTTCACATGCGTCAGAAGAAACGAAATGGGTCTCTACCTGACTGCCCTCCACCTGAAGATCCTGCCATAGCACAGCTTCTGAAGAAATTGCTCTCACAGGTTGTATCACCTTTCTGAAATCTTTTTTTTTAAATTAAATACAAATTTAATAAAATCTTGAAGCATTCACTTAAGTATTAAAAATGTTTTTGATTAGGTTACATCATAACAAATGAAAATAAATATGGCAAATATGCATTTGCTTTGGTACCTGTGCAGGTGACTATAAGGCATTGGGTTGAACTAAATAAAGAGTTATAGGAAAACTATTAAGTTTCTTTTGTGATTATTGGCTAAGTAAATGAGAAAGTAAAAATAACCTTAGATTTAAGTAATATTCTTGATTTTGTTTTATATTTCACCAAAATATAGTGAAATCCAGTTAGAAGAAATATTTTAAAACATATACACAATATGTAAAAATTTCGTTTCTTTTCAGTCCACATTTTTATAAAGTTCTTATTGTATACAAAAAACTGAAATAACTTGGATTTAGAGTATATCTTTTAATAAATTGCTACATCCAAGCCTGTGAGTTTGGATCAATTAACTCTTTCTTAGAACTAGGAAGTAATCTTTATATTTTACTTGGATTTGGTAATACAGCTTTAGAAATATTAAGTCTATATTTAGCCTCCTCTTTTATGAGTGATGTGTGGGACCCAGAGGGTCAAGACAGGAATAAAAATGGTCAGAAGTAAGGCAGATACTGAGGAACTACGTTAATGATTATCTTTAATTCGGAAGAATGTTTTTGGAAAGAATATTTGTCATTCATCTCTTGTCTAACAAGAAAAGAAGACGAGAAAATGCATTCATTTTCTAACTAATTGTCTTGGGTGAAAGGAGGGAGCAAAAAGAAGCAGGTCTCATGGCCTTTCTTTTTTCTGCTACCTGCTGTTTTCCCAGGCATTCCCACTACTGCTCTTGTCTCCATGCTAGCCCTTATTACTGAGTACCATGACAAAAGCACAACCATCCACTGGCTTCCATTCTTCTGAAATGTTGGGTGCTTGGTATATTTGTCATTTAGGCCTTCATTTGAGTGGACAAAAGAGGAAAAATAAACCTGTTTTATGTTGTTTCTGGTGATAATAATATTAGAAGATTCATAGCATTAGAAGATTCATAAACATTAGAAGACTATACTCTGTTCAAGGGACAGGCATTGCTAGTAGAAGGGAGAGCAGGATCTTCTGGGATCCTCAGAAGAAACAACAGCAGAGCAACACTAGCTTCCATTTTTGGGAAGACCTGCTGTAGTTGTGCATTTCATATTTTGTGACCTAAAAACAAACTTGAACAACTTATTATCCCTGTATTATAGATGAAGAAACTGAGACACAAAGTAGTTAACTTGCCTGTGTTTGCGCAGTACAATAAGTTTCAAAATTGGCATTGGAACCTAAACCTGTCCAACTCCAAAGCACATGCTCCTACACTATTCCATGTTGTCTCTCATATAAGATAATCAGGACAGAAAGCTAAGATTGAGAAGCAAGCTTGGGTTTTGTACAGACTTAGGATGAAATTCATGTGTAGATCATGTCCTCCAGCCCCTTGCAGGACTTTTTTTTTTTTAAACTTCATCCTTTTTGGTATCTATACTACCTAAATTTCTTAGGATTACTAGCAGGGGCTTAGAGCCATGGGAGCCCTTGGAGATAGGAATTGAATTATTGTTCCTAATGTCAAGGCTGTACAGATAATTTTTTTCAGCTTTTGCAAGCAGTAGCTCTATTCATAGTTTTGTTTTTGTTTTGTTTTAACTTGGGGTTTAACAGTTTTTTGGACAGCTGTGTACTTGAAATATATATGGGTAACATAGGCTTTTCTATCCTTGCATTGTTCCTATAGGAAAATATGTTCAGAGTTCCAGTTAATAGACTTAAAATACTTAAAATACACTTCTGGAACATCATTCTTATGGGAGTTGGACTCCAGATTTTCAGTAGGACTTACCATCAGGAGATGACACATGGCAGGGCTGATTTTCGTTAGAGCTCATCTACAAGAGCTTCCGGTTTTATTTGTATCCATTTAATCAGGTGCTAATAAAGAATTCAGAGTGATTTCATTGCTTGTGTAAGAAAATGAAATTTTTAACTTTTTAATGGATTTTTAATTTTAGTAAATTTGAGCAATATAAATACAAACATAGAATTGAAAAAGTATAAGAAGATATGTGATAAAATGTAAGTTTTCCTCCATTCCCTGACCCTCAGCCATCAGTTTCTTTCTCTGTTGATGTGAATTTTATGTGTTGGGTGCTGAATACCTTTATATAGTGTTGAGTTTGTTCTCTCATACAATCACTGGGAATTAGTTTCATCCTTTTAAAAACCTTACTTTTAAGCTTTGTTAGGCCAGGTTTAGAGCAAGCTTTAGTTGGCCAGGTTAGCCCAGCTACTGACAGTCTTTGTGAGCACGATGCTCTGTGTATATTATATTCTTTCACTTCTGGCTGCTGAGAACATGGACTATTCCCAGCCCTGTGTTCTATCTAGGATTCATTTGGCCTACTGTTCTTTCCTGTTGCTCTTTTTCTTCTCAGGTATCTTCATCACACACATATAGTTTTTGAAGCTCTCGCTCTGGGCAGATCCCTCTTCATTTCTCTGCCCCACAAATTTTAGCTTTTGTGGCGTTCTTGAAGTCTGACCTGTCTCTTGAACCAGATGTTTTGTACTCTTAATTTCTTTTCCAGAGCCATGGCCTGGAAACACTCCAGGCAGTATTCTGGAACAGTAATGGGACTCACCTTTATCTTGGAGATGCAGCCCTATTTTCCCATGCTTGAAAAATGTTGTTTCATATTTTTGTCCAGTTTTAAAGTTGTTTAAAGTGAGAAAGTAAATCTGGTCCCTGTTACTCCATCATGACTAGAAGCAGAAGTCTGTGGGTTGTTTATGGGCTTGTAGTAGTATTGCTCTGTAACTTGGGCTTAATCTCAGGTAGAACAAACTCTCTTGGCTTTATTTCTTATTCAAGATTGTCTTAGCTCTCCTTGGTCCTTTACATTTTCATATACATTTTCCATATGATATTTCATATCAGTTCTGTTGGTATATTGTTGATATTTCATTGAATTTATAGGAAAAAATTAACGTCTTGGCAGTATTGATTTTTTTCAGTTCCTAAACATGGTATATGTTTTCATATTACTAGGTCTTATTTAATTGGTCTCAGTAATGATGTATGTCTTATTTTGCAGAGTTTTATACATCTTTTATTATAAATCTTTGGGTGTTTGATTTTTTTAAACTGGTATTTTTTTGTTTATAGTTGGCATATGAAAAATTTTTTATACAGACCTTATATCCAGCAAACTCATAAAACTTATTAGTTCTAATAGTTTGCTTATGTATTTCTTTTGAGTGTAACTTCTTAGTCACATAGTGTGTGAATATTCATTTTTTCCAGTTTAATGATTTTATTTGCCTTCTTTAAGTCACTGAGGAGATCTTTAATAGTATTAAACAGAATTGATGATAGTAGACATCCATGTTTCTCATCTCAGAGGGAAAGCTCTCAACATTATGCCAGTTAATGTGATTTTGCTACTGATTTAACTTTTAAAATTATTTGTTTATTTATTTGCTTATTTGTTTGGTACTGGAAATTGAACTGTCATGCTCTCCTACTGAGCAATACCCTAGCCCTTCTTTAAAATTTTGAGATGGGTGTTGCTGCATTGCTGAGGCTAACCTCAAACTTGCAATCTTCCTGCCTCAGCCTCCAGGTCACTGGGATTATAGGCATGTACCACCATGACATGTTTTTTTGTTTTTTGTTTTATCTGTTTGGGTACCTGGGATTGAACCCAGGGTTTCTTAACTACTGAGCCATATCCCCAGTCCTTTATTATTATTTTTTTTTAATTTTGAGACAAGGTCTTTTTAAATTGCTTAGGACCTTGCTAAGTTGCTGAGGCTACCTTTGAACTTGCAAACTTCCTGCCTCAGCCTCCCAAGTCACTGTGTCAAATGTCTTTTTTAAATATACTAAGATTATTGTATGGGTTTTCTCTTGTATTGTGCTAATATTTGGAATAAACATAATTGTGTCATTGTGTGTGTGTGTATGTGTGTATATATATGACTTTATTATACAAATCATAAATAATAACTATATAATCTATAATTTTGTAAAATGTTTTCATGTATATCGGATTTACTTTGCTGATACTTTATTAAGTATTTGTATATTTAGGGTCATGGACAACTTTATCCTATAGTTTTCCTTTCTTGAAATATTCTCTTCCCTCCCTCTAGTATTGGGGTTTGAATTCTGGGGTGCTCTGCCACTGAGCTTTATCCCCAGCCCTTTTTATTTATTAATTTGAGATGGGTTCTTGTTGAGAGCCACAGCCAAGGGGCCCCAGCAAACTTCCAGCTGCCAGCTGATGATTGGCTCACAGCGGCCCCAGCAACTTCTAGCTGATTGGCTCCTCTTTGGTGATGCTCATTGGGCTGTTTCCCCGCCCTTTCAGACTACAGAGCTGCTCATTGGGGGACTTTTTTTGGCTCCGCCCACGGGACCCAGCCAATAGTCCTCAAGAGCAGGAGGAGGGGGGGAGGTGGAGAGGCTTGTGAGAAGCGCCTGGTGGCAGTTGGGCTCTGAGGGTTTTTCCTGAGGAGCTGTGTGGTGTGGTGTGTGGTTCTAAAAATAAAGTTCGTTTCTTTTGACAAGTGGCTCCTGAATTGTGCCCAGCCAGACTGTGGCAGGTTCTTGCTAAGTTGAACGGGCTGACCGCAAACTTGATTTCCTCTTCCCTCAGCCACCTGAGTTGCTGGGATTATGCTGTGTGCCATTGTATCTGCCTCTTTCTTGAAATATTCTTGTCTGCCGCTTCCCTCTCCTCTCCCAATGGCGCATTACTAACATTTTTCATTAAGATATAAATCACATACCATGCTTTTATGGTACACAATTCCTTGGTGTTTTAGTGTATTCACACAGTTGTGCAACCATCACCACTGTTAAATTCCAGAATATTTTCATCATCCCCAAAAGAAACCCCATGCCCATTAATCCTCATTCCACATTCTCCCCTCCCACTCTGCCCCTGAGAACCATTAATCTGCTTTCTGTCTCTATGGATTTAATTATTCTGGACATTTCACATATGATCATACAACATTTGGTGTTTATGTCTGGCTTGTTTCAGTGGTCTTAATGTTTTCAAGGGTCCTCTATATTGTCACATGTATCAGTACTTCATTTCTTTTTATGGTCCTACCTTTTGTTGACTAAAACACAGACTGACAAAAAGAGTAGAACTCACTATACCTGTAAGCTTGTCCTTTTGACCAGAATTTTAGGAGGAGAAGTGAAAAGAAACTAGAATGGTGGGTTAATACTGGTTAAAAACTGGTCCAGGATTCCTTTATGATTATTATGCTTAAATATAATCTTATCCCATAATCTTAACTTTCCGTCCTTTCTAGGATTGGTTTGTGTCACACTGTGCAAATGAATTGTGAATATTGCTTTAAACCATAGTGGGATTGTAGCTAGAGGCCTTAGGGAAACTGACGTTTTATTACATGATGTATTTTATTTTATTTATTTGTATAATAAAGATATACTATGGAATTCTGTGGATGGTTGGAAAGAAGAAAATGCAGAATAGCCACATTTACCTGAATATTTAACTTGTTTATTGAATTAATTATTTAGATTATTAGTGTTTCTTGTCTGCCCCTTTCTTAATATCTTTGGTGGATTAGTGCATTAAAATTTCCCTATAACCTTACAATGTGGTTGTAGGTAATTATCTGTACTTATAAAGGTACAGAGAAATAGAGAAATTTCCAAAAATGTTACATTTGCAGATTAATGGTACTAGAATTTGAATGCAGGCATTCTGACCATAGCTATTATGTAGGATGGTCCTGGGTATGATGCTAGCATTAGTAGTTCAGCCAGAATTTCTGTCACTTCCTAATGTAGAATGCTTTAGATAGATATCAGAATGCCTTCACCTACAGTCTTTCTCTCTTTTTTTTTTGTTCTGGGGATTGAACTCAAGGGCACTCAACCACTAAGCCACATCCCCAGCCCTAGTTTTGTATTTTACTTAGAGTCAAGGTTCTCACTTAGGGTGCTAAGCACCTTACCATTGCTGAGGCTGGCTTTGAACTTGCAGTCCTCCTGACTCAGCCCCCTGAGCCACTGGGATTAAGGTGTGTGCCACTGCGCCTGGCTCATTTAGTATTCTCAACACAAACAGGAGCAAGGTTGAAGTGATACACTTTCTTTTGCTTCATATTGTATGTTCATAATTTTTGTTTAGATAATAAATGTTTGTTTATTCAACAGTTACAATTTTAAAGATTTACTGGACATCAAACTTTGTGTAAAGTTCTTTGAAAATGTCAAGGATGAATTTTTTTATTGTTTTTTTTTAGTTATACATGACAATAGAATACTATGACATAATTATAAAAGCATGGAATATAATTTGTCCTAATTCAATTTCCAATATTTCCTCTTCCCCTCCCTTCCTCCCACCGCCTATTTTCTTCCCTCTACTCAACTGATTTTTTTTTTTTTTTTTAATTAGTGCCTTGTGGAAGTACATGATGGTGAGATTCACTATGGTATATTCATGTATATACATAGGAGGGTTAGGTCAGATTCATTTCACTGACTTTATCTCATTCGTCCCACCTTCCTTTCATTCTCCTTTGTCTATTCCTTCTGATATTTCTTCTTTTCTTTTTCTTTTTTTTAGTCCCCCTGCCCTTTATTTTGGATTAGCTTCACATATCAGAGAAAACATTTGACATTTGAATTTTGGAGACTGGCTTATTTTACTTAGCATAGTTTCCAGTTCCATCAAGGATGAATTATATTTGCTGCCATTTAGGAAGAAAGCTAAAATATAAATTATAATACAAAGTAGACAGTGCCCTAAAAGAGAGTTGTGGGAGATTCCAGTAGAGATATATTATTCATTATTAATAGTTGTTTCTCTTTTGTTTTCTTACATCATTTCATGATTCTGATTCTTTTTATATTAAATTGGGTGGTTCTTGCTTCCTTTGTTAGTCATTCTGAGTCCTGTTGTTACGACTTTTGAAAATAACTTGAAATGTATGGTTTTATTTGGTTTAGGGAATGACAGAGGAAGAGGAAGACAAACTTCTGGCACTGAAAGACTTCATGATGAAATCTAATAGAGCAAAAGCAAATATAATAGACCAGAGCCATCTTCATGATAGTAGTCAGAAAGGTGTAATTGACTTGGCAGCTTTAGGGATAACTGGGAGACAAGTTGATCTTGTTAAAACCAAACAAGAACCAGATGACAAACGGGGTTAGTACATTTGTTTATGTTTGTCTTACTACTTTATCTTGTTATTATATAAGAGTTGTTTTTAGCTAATTAATAATAGAATAAAAGCCCCATTTTCCAGATAGAGAACTTTCAAATGCAGTAACTCCATTATTTAGTAGGGAGATGCTGGGGAGGAAACAAGAGGAAATGAACCCACAGTTAAAAGATTAAGTGACCTGTCCAATCACAGTAGGGCCTTCCAAAGTTATACTTTTATAAAGTAATGTTGCCTCTGTGGAAGTGTGTGATTGAAGGTGAAATTCTATTTTTTAATCCTTTAACCACCAATTTACAGCCAGTAGTCTATGTAAAAAGAAGTAAAGTTTTCTACTTTGTTATTAGTAAGTGATGCCCAGTGAATTTAAAAGGATAGCTTTGTTATTAACAATTAAATAAGAAGAGTAGAGGCCAGAGAATCCTTAGTCATTTGAAGTTTTTAAATTTGGAACTTACAGATCTTGATGACATTGACATTGATTGTATGAAGTTTGTAAGATTTTGTGCATATTCATTTCACTGATACATTGACTACCAAGTACATGCCTTTAAAATTTCTTCTGTTCTAGTATCAGATTTTGAGGATAGCAAATGAATTATATTGAAATGAAACTCTAGTTGCCAAATTTAGGATGAAGTATTTGTATCTTAATGATTTACATCCATAATGTATAAATAACTCATAAAAATTAATAAGAAAGCAAGTACCCCAAAACAAAAAGGGTGAAAGATTTAAGCAGACTAGTGATAGAACTGAAAGGCAAACATATGAAATGGTAAATAATAAAGTACATGCAGATTAAAACAGTGAGATGCTCCTTTCTTCCTGTGTAATTGGCATAGACCAATGATACCCCAGTGTTAGCAAAATTATAGGGAAGTAAGCATTTTCATACACTGTTGAAATTATAAATTGAATATATTCTTATTAGAAGGCATTTTAATGTTAGCTGCTGTAATTTAAAATGTCTTTCCTATTTGACTTGTTTTCAGTTCTGAAAACTTATCCTAAGAAATATTGACAGGCATGTGAAGAAACATATATAAATAGGACTGTTCATAGAGAAAGAAAAAGGAAGTAATATAAATATCTGTTAATAGAGGAAATAGTTAAGTTAATTTTCAAGGCATTTAGTTAAGGAGGAGAAAAGGCATGTTTTCCAACAGTATGTATTCTGTTTTTACTAAATAATATGGATAGTATATTTTTAAACTATAAAGTATCTGAGGTCCTGTTAGGACTTTGCATCAGGATATTGGAATTCTGGGGAGCAATTCACAATATACTTTGGTAATGCTAGAACTTTGTGTTACTTAATATATTTTTTATAGTTGGATAAAGATAAAAATAAAGGATTTCTCATCTGTAGACAGGAGCTAGCTACATAGCAATTGATTTTTTAATTTCTTCCCTTTTTTTGTTTATATTTCCCATGTAACTGATATGGGAGTAGAGAGGGCATGTACTGCATTGTGGTCAGTGACATGAAAAAGTTGTTTTTATTATTGTTTCTTTAGATAAAGTGGTTACTTTGAAATTGAGCTAGCTTTGGGAAACTAGAAATAATTAGGACTAATTGTTCACAATCTTGGAAGCTCATTTGTTCCATCTGTTCTGGAGATGAAGGGAGATTTAATGAGTTGAAACATATATCCGAGTGAAGTGGAGATCCAAAAGAACAGATAGGATATGAAGTCCCCGAGTGAAGTGGAGATCCAAAAGAACAGATAGGATATGAAGTCCATTGCTGCCTTCCTTCCAAAATAAAAGGAGGGGTGTATAGTAAAAACCTATTTTGGTTTTAAAGGCCACCTTCAGACAAAACTATTATGAATATATTTTCATAGCTAGAAAACATGTAAAACAAGACTCAAATGTAAATGAGGAATGGAAAAGCATGTTTGGATCACTGGAACCAGCGAACATCCCACAAACCCTGCCTAAAGGAAGTGACCAGGAGCTGATTCAGACTGGGAAGCCTCCAGGACGATCTGAGTCCTCTGCAGGCATTTGTGTCCCTTTGTCAACTTCTCCACAGGTACCTGTCACCTAGGTAGAAGTTTTGGTTATTTCTTTGAATTCAGTTTTGCTATTTTGGATGTTTAAAGTCTTTGTACTTTACTGGAAAAATCAATGTGGTGGGCTGTAGTTGTAGCTCAGTGGTAGAGAGCTTGCCTAGCATGTGTGAGGCACTGAGGTCGAGCCTCAGCACCACATAAAAATAGATAATAAAAAAGATATTGTCCATCTACAACTAAAAAAATTAAAAAATCAATGTGGTGACTTGTCCTGTAGGGAGGACTTACTTCTTTCTAAGATGGGTTCACTAATTATAAGCCAAGGAGGAATCTAGTTAGTAAAATCATCAAAAAGGTCTCATTTAAGAGTTGTTGACAGAGGGGCTAGGGATGTGTCTCATGGTAGAATGCTTGCCTAGCTTGCATGAGGCCCTGGGTTTAATTCCCAGCACTGAAAAAATAAATGAACATAAAAGATGTTATGAACTGTGATTACAGTTAGGCTACAGTTAACCTTTTAAATCTTTTTTAATTCTCTAGTGTAACATAGTAGTAAGAATACTTCTGGGAAGAAGTCCCAAATTTTCTGTGTGTGATACATGTGATAATTTTTATATGTGTCTAATTAGTTTGTAATATAAAGTAACTCTTCCCTAGTCAATCATATTTTAAGTGAAAAATATCCATTGAAACAGACTGATAAATTGAAATTCCATATCTTATTTTAACTTAGATTACTAAAAATTTTTGTGTAATGTTATTTTTGTGCTATAATATGTTTTAATGTAATGGAGAGGTTTAGAAATATAGCATTTTAAAACAAAAAGAAATGTAGCATTTGTAGTTAACTGTAGGTTTTCATTGAAAAAATGTATTTAAATGGATTTTAAAATTGGTATATTAGCAAGAATAAAAAGTTGGTATACACATTTATAGAACATTGGTCCATTTTTATCATCACATATACTTGACTTAGGACATAAATACGTATAATTCTATTTATTTTGCAGGTTTCAGAAGTAACAAATGTCCAAAATAAAAAACCAGTAATACAGGTTTTAAGTAGTACAGTTTTACCATCGACCTACCAGATTCGGATCACAACTTGTAAGACTGAACTTCAGCAGCTCATACAACAAAAGCGGGAACAATGCAATGCTGAGAGGATAGCTAAGCAGATGATGGAAAATGCTGAATGGGAGAGTAAACCACCACCACCTGGTAAAAGTTCCAGCCTGGGTGCCTAATCTTAGAATGTAATGGAGGAAGCTGATACAGGTTGAGTGTCCCTAATCTGAAAATCCAAAATCTTAAACTCAGATTTTGGATTTTGGATCATTTCTTCTCATGAATTTTTCATGGGAGATGCTCACATATACTTCCAAGCATTTCAGATAAAAGATATTTAACATATACTTTATCAGACAACATGTACTTTATACTTGACAAAGAAAGTAAGGGTAAAGCTATCACTTGGGAAACCCAGAGAAATAAGCAATTAGTAGAAATCTTAAAGTCATTATTTGTGGGGTTTGGATCTTTTTAGCTCTGAGTATAAACTTGCAGTGTCATATTTTTGGCCAGTCAATAATTTAGCTCATTTGCATTTCATTTTCCCTATTTATAGTACCAGGTTTTTACCTTCCTAGTTTCATGCTGCTTTCTCATTGAATGTCAGGCTTTTTGGAGTAAACTGCTTTTGAATTCTGGAGAGTTTAACATTTTCATCTATTAATATTCTACAAGAAAAAGGTATAATATTTAGAAAATTGTTTTAAAAAGAAAACATATAGACCCCCCACTTAGCAATTATTAACATTCATATTTTGGGAAAATACTTCCTATATTCTGAGTTCTAAAAGAAATTTAGAAATAAGATGAAAATGTGGCTCAGCCATGTTAACAGTCATGCCCCATTATAATGTGGCAGAGTTACTCTTCATTATTTGATTTGTAGATTTAAAAAATGATTTTCTGAATTTACATCTTAATAAAAATTTAATTGGAAAACTCTCAGAAGAAATGCATAGTATGCTTATGTGTAGACTTTTAAAAATTATGAATTCTTACAAGCTTTTCATGTGGATCAGGGAAGATTCTGGTTGAGGTTAGTGATTTAAAGATTTAGAAAATAAATTTTTTAATTGGTAAACATCATCTCTAGTCATAAATATTCTAATTAAAATAAATATCCTGGAATATTTAACCTATTTCTGTGATGTAAGTCAATATTATTTACCAGCCCAGCTAAAAAAACGGAAAAAAGCCCATAAACAATTTACTTTTATGATATAATCTGTCTTTATACTTAAATGGAGTTAAGTTGTACATTTTATTTGGTAACCAGAGAAAATGTGTCAAATTTTGTGGCTTAAGAAATGTTCAGTGACTGTTGTGTTGGGATCTTAGTTTTTTCTTTCCACACCTGAGCGGTTGTGTGAAATTGATTTTCTCTAGAGGGAAATGTTCATCCTAGGCTGGAAAGTTATCTAGACTTTATTACCAAGTGTTTTTTTGGTTACTTTCAAATTTAGTTATATTCTTCTTAAAAATCACATTCACCTGTTCCCACACAAGTGACCATTGAGGTTCAAGGGGAAAACATTTTGGTTTTTAATCTTAGATTACATCAGATTTGGCAATAGTCTTGGTTTCATTTTTGTTTCTTGGTGAAAAGAAATGATTTCTAAAATAACATTGTTGTCACTTAGGCATGTTGTTGACACTCCGTACAGTATGATCTTCAGCTTAGCTTTCTGTTTTATTTTAAAATAAATAATATTGAATATTATGGAATGTTATATTTGATACAAAAAATGGTTAATGATCAAACATTGAAGATAATCATGCAAGGAGGGACCTATGCTAGGTACTGCAAGTGTTTCAGAATGGTAAGACATGGTTTCTAGCCTCAGGGAATTTATAGTTTGGTAGACAGAATTAATCAACCCCAAAGGAATATATAAATAATGTAGAAAGTTATAGATGTCATGAAGTAAGTACTGTAAAGTCCATAAACATTTTGAGGCTATAATTTATAATATTATTTATATTTACGTGTTTATATCATAGAATACAAGATTGCAGGTGGAGAGGGAATCAGCCAGCATTGGGATATTTACTGTACTGTAGGGACAGTGCTGGACTCTTAAATATATCTTGTTTATTCATATTTCTACCCTTTGGGTTAAATAATACGCCTCTCATTTTACATTTGAGGAAATTAAAAGTTCAATGAGTTTTAAGTAGCCGAAGGTCACACAGTTAAGGTATGGTGGAGCGAAGTTTTTGAGACTTTGATGCTCAGGCCACTTCTTCTCCTGTGCCTCCTATGCTCTAGGCTAAGAAAATCATTTCCCCATGTTACTGGATCAGAATTCAGTGCTTTTAGGAGTAGTAAATGACTGTTGTGCCCTCTCAGATTCTGGAAAATGACTATCTGTCATAGTTCAGTAGACCACTCTGTATTGGCTAGCTATCAGTACTCTTTAAGTTCTTAAGCTGATTCTTGGTCATTATAGCTCAGAGTAAGGGTAAAATTGTGTTTGTAAACTACAATTTAAGTTATACTCCTTTGCTTTTTCTTAGGGTGGCGTCCTAAAGGGCTACTAGTTGCACATCTTCATGAGCACAAATCTGCTGTGAATCGAATTAGAGTCTCTGATGAACACTCACTTTTTGCAACATGTTCAAATGATGGCACAGTGAAAATCTGGAACAGTCAAAAAATGGAGGGGAAGACCACTACTACTAGGTAACCATATGATCAGGAAAGATCAGTTTATTCATTCAAATCAGTAGATACTTATTGAGTGTTTACTCTATAATTAGCACTGTTTTAGGAGCCAGGGCTATGTCATTGCTAGATGGGCAAAAATCATACTTCTGTGAGGTTTACCTTCTAGTGAAAGATGACAGTCAGTAAAAAATATAAATAAGTAAAATATTGTGTTAGATGGTTAAAAAAATGTTATGGAGGAAAAATACAGTAGGAAAGGGAAAAGGGAATGTGATAGGGGTGGGATAGATAGAATTTTAAATAAATTGCCAGAGAATGCCTCACAGAGAAAAAATGACATTAGAGGAAAGCCTTGAAAAAAGTAAGGGGAAGAGCTATGAGGATAACTTGGGGAAAAATGTTCTAAGCAGAGGAAACAGTGATTTCTGTGGGCCTGAGGGAGAAACATTTGGGGTGTGTGCGAGATAGCAAAAAGGCCTGTGTAGCTGAAATAGAGCAAGGAAGAGGAAGAGGTGGTGGGTGAGGCCAAATTAAATAGGGTCTTGCAGGCTGTTGTAAATGTTGTAAGCAGAGGAAAGACATGATCTATGTTAGATGTCAGCACATTTACTCTGACTGTTGTGTTAAGAATGGATTGGTGTAGGGACTGGGGTTGTAGCTCAGCGGTAGAGTGCTCGCCTCGCATGTGCAAGACCCTGGGTTTGATCCTCTGCACCACATAAAAATAAATAAAATAAAGGTATTCTGTCCAACTATAGGGGAAAAAAAAAGAATGGATTGGTGTATATATACAATGGAATATTTTTTCTTTTTATTTATTTCTTACATACATGACAATAGTGGAATGCATTACATTCATAATTATCGATTCACAGCACAATTTTTCGTAACTCTGTATAAAAAGTATATTCACGCCAAATTATGCCATTATATATGAGCTCTCTCTCTTTTTTTGCATTACAATTCTTAATACACCTTTATACTATAATTTATCATATCTCTATATATAAGGTATGTTGACACCAAATTCACATCTTCATACATGTATTTTTGGAATATTACTCAACCATAAAGAAGAATGAAATTATGGCATTTGCCACTAAATGGTTGGAAATAAAGAATATCATGCTAAATGAAATAAACCAGTCCCCAAAAACCAAAGGCACAGTGTTCTCTCTGATATGTAGATGCGAACCCACAACAAGGAAAGGGAAGATTAGAGGTTCACAAAAGAGAATGAAGGGAAGGGAGGGGGGATGACAATAGGAAAGACAGTATAATGAATCGGACATGTCTTTCCTGTCCTCATATATAAATACACTACTAATGTAACTCCATATCATGTACAACCACAATAATGTGATCCTAATTGGAACAAGTTATACACTTTCTATGTATAATATTTCAAAATATACTCTACTGTCATATATAAAAGAATAGATTGAAGAAGGGCAGTATAAAAGCAGTTAGGAGTCTATATATTAGTAAAGCAGAAGAAGGTAGCCTGGGTCAGGGTAGTAGCAGTGTAGCTAGTAGGAAATTCAGATTCAGATTCTGAATATTTTTGAATGGTAGAGCTGTCACAGTTTGCTGAAGAGATTAGATGGTGTATGCAAGAGAAAAGTAAAAAATTGATGGAATGGCCAGTTAGAAAAACAAATACTGTACCATTGTTCCACTGCTATAGACAAGGAGATAATTTATGACTTGAAATTCTTAAGACTAAATATGTACAATATAATTTAGATACATATGATTATTGTAATTATTTTAGATTTGTACAACTTTATAGTTATATACCTCCTTGTTTTACAGTCTGTCTCCACTCACTTCTCCCTCTGTCTGTGTCTTAAGTTCCACTGTATTCTTATTTGTTTTTTGCATAGTTTGTTCCCAAAAGAAAGCTACTAGAAATCAGAATTGAATTGTGTCTACATTAAAAGGATGTGGGGAATCTCTGGTGTTTTTGTAATCAGTTCATTGACCGTAATTAATCATAAAATCAACAAACAACAAAATATCCTTGATAATTAAAATAGTTTTAAAATTTTATTTCTTATGTACCATCCTGATAAAATTTTGTGCTGATTGGGTGTTTTTAAAAAAGAATTCTGTGTTTTTGCACTGTGATTTAATTTTTATATGTATTATATCTTGGTCAGAACATAAATTAAAAGTCAATAAAAGAATCCTTAAATCTATTTAGCATTTTAAAATTAACATTTTATTATGAAATTATCAAACTTAGAAGAAAAGTTGAAAGTATTTCATGGTACTTGCCACTCAAATTCTTTAGTTAATAATTTTACTGTATTTGTTGTGTCTTTTACCTGTTCATCTACCTCTTATAAGTCCTGTTTTTTTTTGGTGCTGGGAATTAACCCCAGGGCCTCAATGCATGTCAAGCATGCACTTTACCACAGAGCTACACTTTTATTTTTATGATTTCAATGCATTGCAGGCATTAGTATATGCCCTCTAAAAACTTCAGTATGTATATTATTAATGAGAATTTAATATTTATGTGTATTTTTCTGATATGAAATATATATACAATAGTATATAATATGATATAATGTATATACAATAGTATATATATATACTTAATAAAGTATACAGATCTTAAGTGAACCATTTCATGAATTCACACAAACACATATATGTCTACAACTGCACCCCTCTCAAGATACAGACTGTAACCATCATACCAGGATGTTCCCTTATGTCTTCTCCCTTTAAATCCCTTCATGTAACAATTCTTCTACTTTTTTTCCCCAATCACTATTAGCATTTTGATTAACATGTTAAACACTTACTCTGATAATTGTTTTCCAGATGGTTCTTTGCTATTATCATCAGTTATGTTAATTGTCCCTTTTATTAGGAGGATAAGTTTAATTAACATAAGTAAATTTCTCAAAAATGAACTTGGAATCATGTTTACATTACAAAAACACTTCTTAAGTTCCAAATGATTTTCATCAGAATCATGCCTTCTGTATCCGAGTGTCATATGTTAGGCAGTAGTATTCCAGTGTCAACATTTCAGACAGTTGGTATCTCCAAAATTTTGGCAATTGAGCCTACTTTATAGTCTTTGGGAAGTTTGTACTGTGATTAGGAGATGGATCTCTTCTGGAAACAGTTGTTCTCTTACTTTGATGTAACACTTGCTGTCTTGTTTGTGAATGCACTGTGCCTTGTTTTGGAAGGGCTACATCCAAGTTCCAGGGTAGAGAAGAGGGCAAGGGAACAGAATGTATTACTTTCACCAGATGCCTTCATGGACTCCTGAGGGAGGAGGATGCAATCATTATTGCCATAGTCAAACACGGAGCAGCCGTAGTAGAAAAGACTGGTGAAACTAGTGTACTTTTTTGTTACTAGTATGTTATGACTACTGATACCCCTCCTAGCGTGGAGGGGAGTGCATTGTGTTGGCTAACTCCCAGCCCTAACTTTTTCATTGAATTACGATTGTTTATTTATACTACTTGGATCTTAGTTCTGTCCTTATTTGAGTTGAACTTTCAGTTTGTTTTGTAGGGACTAATTCTTGAAAAATTGCTATTCTTTAAAAATTTGCACAGATTTTTCAACAGATTTTTTAGTATTCTAAATTATATTTTCCATGTATTTTTCTTGTACTATCTTATCTCTGGCTTATTTTAGCTTCTCAGTTTTAGGGGCGATTGATGAGTTTGGTAATTATTGACATTGAAGTTATGCTGCAATATTTAAGTGGAGTTTTGACAGAGTAAAGAGTTAGAACAATATAAAGGGTGCACAAGGAAGATGTCAATGTTAGGGTTAGGGTCACATGTATTGGAGTCATTGATAGTATTGGAAGCCAAAGTTTTTGAGTGGTATGGCTACTCTGAAGGGAAGAGTAATGAGGCTTGAACCTCAGAAAATTGAATTTTTGGGTTAGGAACAGAGGGGCCAGAAAAGAAGAGAGAAGAAGTCATTTGTGTTACATCATGAACTACATCAGAAGAGAAAATTTTAAGAAATGGACTCTTAGGCCTCTCTCAAATGCAATAGAAAAGCTAAGTGGCATAACATCCTAGTAAGAATATCTAGGTCTTCTTACATGGTGCCCCCGGTGGAATACAATTGATGACATCTTCCTTGGAGGGCTTTTGGACAACATACATGATACTTCTTTATGATGTACACATCCCAAGGAAATGTAAGTATAAACCCAGATGTTAGTTTTAAGACTGTTAGACTGCCTACTTTTAATAGTAAAAAACTAGAAACAAACTAAAGGTTCAGCAGTGGGGATAAAATGGGGCAAGTAAGTGATGATGCATCTGTAAAACTGATATGGGAATAAAATATTTGGTATGAAAGATATTGAAATATTATATAACAAAAATTAAGAGTATTTGAAGTTTCTGTTTCTGGAATGGTAGAAAGGATCTTCAAATATTGCTCCTCCATAAAAGCAATGAGAACACTGGCAAAAAGTCAAGAAAGTCAGTTTTCTTAGAACTCTGGAAATGAAGTCTCACAATCCCAAGAGTGTTTAACCAAGAAAAATAATAAGAACAGTGAGCCATGTGGTGTTTAGCTTAATTTCACCCCCCCTCTACCCAACTTTGTGGTAGCCTTGAAAACAAATAGTTTCATAACTATGGTTGCCATGGAAAGTAGCCCCTTCATATTCACTTGAGGGCTCACAATGGCTTTGGAACTCTCCAAAAGCCTCATCCCCAGATAATTGTTGCTATTTAGCTTCTTTGTTGTGTGAAAAGCCCCTTTTGACTTCTCTCACACCTGTTGTTTGAGAAAAACCTCTTCACAGGGCATTTGTGAAAATAATCTGCATTGCCAGGCATGGTAGCACATTGATGTAATCCTAGTGACTCAGGAGGCTTGGACAGTAGGACTGCAAGTTCAAGGCCAGCCTCAGCAATATAGCAAGACCCTCAACAATTTACTGAGACCTTGTCTCAAAATGAAAGATAAAAAAGACTGGGATCTAGCATAGAACTCAGTGGTAAAGCACT